AATAGTTACTGTAATAGGTAACTGTAATAGGTAAGTGCAATAGGTAAGTGTAATAGGAAAGTGTAATAGGTAACCGATCAAGATCATTTATCATATTCATGCTGCGCCAAAGATATCAGGATCAGCAAGTTACATTGCTTATTCTGCAATCATTCCAGTTCGTCCTTCACATCCTTTTGTATCAAGGTTCAAAGTAATCAATAATGGTTTATTAGTGATCAGTAATGAGTCACATGGTCCTACTCCTAACCAGTACTCATGCCACATAATATGAGCCATCCAACTTGTACATGATATGTATTCAATATGCTACAAGGATGAAGATTTCACAGCGGGTCTAACTAACAATACTAATTGTTACTAGACTAATGTCAGAGGACTTGTATTAGTTTAACTTTATTCTGGAAGCTTTTGGTTGAACGCGGTTCATGTTAGATAATAACATGAACCGCGTTGAACCAAAAGCTTTGAGATTAAAGTTAAACAAAACAAGTCCTCTAATACCAATTACTATATTATATTTACTATAAGTACATAGTTAGTACTAGCCTTCTAATGATTTATATCATGTCGCAACTGATTTCCAGATCGGTATATATTGCTTCGCGGCCCGGGTATCTAATGTGATGACACATGTGTCTCATATTTATGATTCTTCAATTCTACCGACAATATTGACGAGACGAATTAGGTGACTGATAAAAATTATCCCTGTTTAATCTTCCACCACAGGACCACCTAGCTGGATATAAAGTGTAATCAATTTCAGGTGTTGAGTTAGTTTTTAACTTTTGTAATAAATGTAAATATTATTGGCTCACCAAAACCCGTCTGGTCTCCGCCGGTTAAACACGTGTAAAAGCTACTAATTTAAGCAACTAGACACAGAACATGACAATATTTAATTACCTAATTAGTTGTGTAATTAGAGAATACACGGGTCACCACACTGCCACCCATGTTTACCAACTAATCTATTGATTAATTAATCTTCTTTACTTACACAGCCCATTACTGCTGCATAGTGTTGTTTCCGGTTTTTAGATTATTAGTTTATTAGTTTACCTGCGTTTTTAGAATTGTTAAAAATCATACTCATAGACCTTTAAAATATTCCAAATGATTCGATCGGTTTTAAAGCTGTTTCTGATTTATATTCTGCAACCAGGAAACCTTGCTCGCTCAATAAATTTTTGTCCTCATCGACGGTTAATTGCAGTTTGGTTGAAAATTTAAATTATATTTCAAATCCCCATAATCTATTCAGTCCAGGTGTGTTTGATGTTTGAAACTTTCGACCAATCGTTTTCTACGAAACTTTAATTTTCCTATATTTTCCTTTGGAGTCAAAGATTCCATGCTTAAAGGATTCATTAGATTAATGCCAAATTAATCTATAAAAATCTAGGGTACTAAATGCTAATGAGGGATAAGTAACCAGTTGGCTGCATAATAATTTCATTTAACACCTGTCAGCACGCGTCTCCAAGATGTCGAGGTAATGGACTAAAAATCTTACCCAATGAAGGACCAATTAGGCGTCAAGAAATTTATCATCTCTACGTTTAGCAGGGTGCCAAGAAATCACGGTATCAGATCCTCGGTCTGGTTTTCCTGATATAGAATGACACTGTTCTTGTCCGGCTTCAGTCCCCCTTCTTCGAGGAGGTTTAACTGTTAGTTGTTGAACTTTTCCCCGTCGAAATCTCGTAGTCCATTACGTTTTTACACATCGAGAGCTCTGTTACTGTTGCCTATTACCAGATCTGTGTGGCGGTCTATTTCTTTACACCAACACACCGCCTTACAGCTTTGTTATGCAGAAATATTGGACATAAATTGAGACAATTGCAGCGAGCTCGGTGCGATAAGTATTGCCAATTTTGAGAGGCTGAAAAACAATCCGCCAGTCGATCTCTTTGTCTGGACTCACGTGGTCATGAGTGTTACATTGAGCTTCCAGTACATTATTCTAACTATCATAGTCACGCTATAAGCTGTTAAACTAGTTACTCTCAGCTCTTATAAATACTGATGCTCACTTTTTCCATGCGTTACAGCGAGAAGAGATTAAGACGTATAGAAGAGAAAAGGTGCGCAGTAACTAGTAAGTCATTGTCATTCTCTACTTCTGAACAAGTTAGTAGCGGTTGACAGTACTGCAGTCCTATGAGGTCCTATGAGGCTCATGATCATCGATTAAGTTGCTGTTGGAGTTGGTTTGTTATCATATTCTCGTTAGTACACGCTCGGTGGTTACTTTACTATCCGTGTTATTTGCTGATATCTTGTGACGTGTTATATGTGTTTTAATCGGTTGATTGAAGGTTTGGCTCTGAAGACAATATTTAAATACAGTATTTGGTTGATACCATCTATTTATTGATATTCTATTCTAGCATGAGAGGGGGTATGTCTATTTTGTAAGTAATTGTTATACTTATATTTATAATAGAAGAGAGAACCTACAACGTCTATCGACTAAATATTGCATCGTTCAATCATCAATCGTTTTGCAACTGACTTTTCAAATTTCAACCAAAGACCAACATTTCAATCGACTGTTGATGACACAAATATGTCAACAGTCAAAGCTTTATTGCTTGCATTTAATTAAACAAGTTGCACCCAGCACAAGCTGTGGATTTTGTCACGATTAATGAAAAAATAAATAATAATAAAAACTACTTGAGTTGTGTATGAGTGACTAAAGAAATTGTTACATACGTGCATGTGCTAGTGAAATACATTAATCTCCTCCCTGTAACCAGCTTTTGTTCAACACAGTCGTCCGAGGAAGCGCTGACACTTTTTGTTGGGCACTACAACAACCACTATAGTTTCTGAGAGGAATACGTTAGTTACAGTATTGGGTATTGTCCTGCCAGGATTCTTGTGCTGCTATTAGCTAATTATTACGGTACTGTTGCACCTCTCTCACCAATCTTGTAATTATTTTCCGTGATATCGCACTTTTGGTGTACAATGGTAGGAGCCGTTGATATCCTATGAGATTTTAAGTGTACTGTTTCTTTGTATGGTTGTTTAAATGATGCCCTTTTCCGGTATTAGTTTCTGCTAACATTAAAAATAGAAGAATGAATGGAAAATAAAAGGTTCCTCATCATGACCAAGGTTTTAACAAAACTGTCTACAACCTGACATAAGTAAAACCACTATATTTTTTAATAAAATTTGTGGTCTGGGCAATGTTTTGCTAAACTTTCCTAGATTCGGAATTTAAATTTAGCTTTAACTATTATGGACTGACGTTCGACTGTAGATTTTGAATTATTCGCTTTGTTTTTCTGATTTTGTCTCTATGATCTTGAAAATTGAGCAAATCTCTGATAACACGATACCCGCACTCATCACACCAAACACATCACACGATATCCGCACTTATCGCACCAAACACATCACACGATACCCGCACTTATCATGCCAAACATATTACACGATACCCGCACTTATCACACCAAACATATCACACGATACCCGCACTCATCACACCAAACACATCACACGATACCCGCACTCATCACACCAAACACATCACACGATACCCGCACTCATCACACCAAACACATCACACGATATCCGCACTTATCACACCAAACACATCACACGATACTCGCAATCATCACACCAAACACATCACACAATACCCGCACTCATCACACCAAACACATCACACGATACCCGCACTTATCACACCAAACATATTACACGATACCCGCACTCATCACACCAAACACATCACACGATATCCGTACTTATCACACCAAACACATCACACGATAACCGCACTTATCGCACCAAACACATCACACAATACTCGCACTTATCATGCAAAACACATTACACGATATCCGCACTTATCGCACCAAACACATCACACGATATCCGCACTTATCACACCAAACACATCACACGATACTCGCAATCATCACACCAAACACATCGCACGATACCCGCACTTATCACACCAAACACATCACACGATACCCTCACTCATCACACCAAACACATCACACGATACCCGCACTTATCACACCAAACACATCACACAATACCCGCACTCATCACACCAAACACATCACACGATATCCGCACTTATCACACCGCAAACACATCACACGATACTCGCAATCATCACACCAAACACATCACACGATAACCGCACTTATCGCACCAAACACATCACATAATACCCGCACTCATCACACCAAACACATCACACGATATCCGCACTTATCACACCGCAAACACATCACACGATACTCGCAATCATCACACCAAACACATCACACGATATCCGCACTTCACACAATACTCGCAATCATCACACCAAACACATCACACGATATCCGTACTTATCACACCAAACACATCACACGATATCCGCACTTATCGCACCAAACACATCACACGATATCCGCACTTATCACACCAAACACATCACACGATACCCGCACTTATCATGTCAAACATATCACACGATACCCTCACTTATCACACCAAACACATCACACGATATCCGCACTTATCGCACCAAATACGTCACACGATATCCGCACTTATCATGCCAAACACATTACACGATATCCGCACTTATCGCACCAAACACATCACACGATATCCGCACTTATCACACCAAACACATCACACGATACTCGCAATCATCACACCAAACACATCACACAATACCCGCACTCATCACACCAAACACATCACACGATATCCGCACTGATCACATCAAACACATCACACAATACCCGCACTCATCACACCAAACACATCACACGATACCCGCACTTATCACACCAAACACATCACACAATACCCGCACTCATCACACCAAACACATCACACGATATCTGCACTTATCACACCGCAAACACATCACACGATACTCGCAATCATCACACCAAACACATCACACGATAACCGCACTTATTACACGACTATAATTTTATAACTTAATCTTTATCAGGGCAATTTAAGTAAAATGACAGTCGGTGCTTCTAACTTGGGATTTATTTCTTGTGCGATCTGTTTCTTTGGAATACTATCTCTCGGTAAGAAGAATTATTTATCGTTTTTTATTATGTTATGTATTGTTTTTTATTATAAAATATAATGTCTAAACTCGAGTGTAAATTGAGTATACTAGGCTGTTTTCTAAAGCTTTTTAGAAGTTAATATATAACAAGAGGTATGTTGTTTGTATTCAAACAAGGGAGAGTCTTCTTTGCCTTGGTAATAAACACCATTAGAAGGCTAACTTTAAAAAACTACAAGAAGCCCGGGAAGTTTTTACCACCTACTCACGGCCGGGACTTACTAATTACACATATATTACTTTATAATTATACACATATTACTGTGTCTGGAGGGAACTTGTAATCCACAGTAACAATTCTAAAGTAACACCCACGAAGAGAAAAGACAGCTGAATATATTTGCAATATACTTTGTAACGCTATATCATAGTATCAGTGAAACTGTAACTATAGTAACAACGTTCCAGCTATCAATGAGTCACTAAGCCCTAAGGTAACAGGGTTAGTGGTTACTATGGTTACCGTGCCATGATGGTAACAAAAAAAATTAAAAGTTAATAAAGATAGCAGTCGATGTGGATTGGGACCCATTCACAAAACCTCATGTAACTATATGGCAACAGTGTAACTATGGCAACAGTGTAACTATGTTAGCAGTCATGCAACTAATGTAACATCAGCTTAACATCACCAGGTAGTAGCTATCTACAATGTTACAAATGTGACAAGGACGCAACACAAACAGGTGACTGTACGAGCAACATGTGCACAGGAAAATGCGCTACAATCACCTACAGTACTTCAGTTGAGGGGGGAACCGTGGACACTACAGAACTCAGAATGTGTGTTCCTAACAGCTTTTCTAATGGTTAGTGTCCTATAATAGGTTTCAAGTATAACTAGAATATCTGCATTTTATCTAACACGTATTTTACTTCGGACATTCCAACAGCCACATATTGATGCAAAAGTGTAACCAGCCAATTACAGGATTGACTTTATTGACTTGATACCTGATCCCTTACAATAACCAAGGTTTTTAAGCGCGGGGTTTTTGTTCTTTTGGGACTTTGACAGGGAGCTCCTTCCGTCTTTTATTATACTGAAAGAGAATGTATATAATTATAGAATAAAATAGTTCAAATAGAGCGAAGAAGGATAGAAACTGCTGGCTACCCCCCCCCCCCCCCCCCATTTCCGTTAGATTGACTTTATTGACTTGATAAGTGATCCCTTATTAAGTTATTACAGTAACCAGTTGCAGTGTGTGACAATATTGCAATTAAATGGGCAGAGTGTTTTTTAACAGCATAAATCGCTACCACTCGCACGGGGTAACAAAATGTTGTAAATTATATTGCATAGTGCTATCTTTATCAGATGTAAGGGTAACTTCATTTCCCAATGTTTTCAGAATATTTTGTAACTTAAGCCAGGGCATGATAAAATCACTGAAAATAGTGCCATGTGTATAGTATGAAGCTGTTAATAATTGTAGTGTCAGAACTCATAAATCGGAGCCCAGGAAGTTAAAAGGATTTAGCTACTCAAGACCAAGTGGAAATTATACCAACATTCCAGCCATAGCATTAAAACAAAATTTGATCATATATTACTCAAATAGTAGAACACAAAAACCGTAGCGTACTTCAAAATAAGATCAGTTGAGCCCCTCCCGGATTGCGACATTGCCATGTAAGAAAAATAATGACTGCACTAACAATATTTGTTACATGGGCTGACTCTAACTTACTCTTTATCTAGACTGAGACAGACATCAATTTAATAATGAAATTGAGTGGTGAAAAATGGGGGGGGGGGGGGGGGGGGGGGGGGGAATCCGGAAATGGGAGGAAACGGGGAAATGGGGATTGATTTTTATGGATTTACCATGTAGCTGTTTTCATCCCGCGGTAAATAAAAATTGGGGTCTCCTATTCTGGGATTACCAAAACTTCAAAATAACTTGAATTATATCTGGTGTCAGTTTGACTCCCTTCCCTTTACAATTTACAGCTCCCAAATTTTTGGCATTAACTGCACATGTTCACATTCCTCAAAACCAGACGACGGCCACCAAAAACCCCAAAATCATTAGAATATGTGCCACAGACGGCGGGCAATTCCTCTGTCTGTGTAGTCGCCTCCTCTAAAGTAGTAGCAGACCGTAAACTGTGTACAGAAGTAGGGAGGCAGGGAGTACTGGAACACTAATTACCATAATTAAAGGAAAATATCTCGTGTTCCTGATAACATATGACGCAATGCGCTAACACATTAAAAACAAGGTTGTACTGTATTTGAGGTGCCAACATTTTAGAATTTAGAGTTTGATAAGTAGGAACTGTACTGAATATCGTCCGACAAGTACGGGGTTTTAACAGTTTTCCTTGTTAAACAATATGGCGAAATTTTGATGAAATTTACAAACTCATTATAAATCATCATCCTCAAACACCGATGCCAAGGTTTATCATTAAATCTTAATTTTACTTTCAGAGGATTTGTGCAAGAGTAGGAAACCAGTTTCTATATCTGGAACCGCATGCAAAGATGTAAATGAAGATTGCACGTGCATGGTGACAAGATGCTCAACTGACAAGTGTAATGGAATGTTCGGTAAGATTTGCGAATATTAGAAACGCAAGATCTCAGTATTCTTCTCTCTCTCTCTGTTTTGGTCAACGGTTTCTGGCCTCCTAGTGAAGAGAGAGGCCTTCTCGCCGTGCCCACAGAGTGTGACTCCTGCTAGCCACACTCCAGGACTCCCTAAGTATATACAAAAACATAGAATAATAGATATCAACGCAACAGACCTCTGGAGTCTCGAAGCTGTTACTACCTTGCTCAGAGCAAACCCACTTCAGATGTTCTTCTTTGGCGGGCAGGCGAGGGACTTCCGAGCATGGTCCACACCTGAATATGTGTCACTATCTGAGATAGTCCTGTGTGGGTCTAGTGTATGATTGTTTATGAACCTTGGTGTATGTCCTAGATGCTTATCCAAATAGATCGTCTCTGTCAAACCTTGTTGACTGTTCCACGAATTTGATAATGTGGTCGAGTTTACTATTGATGAGTTCCTCAATTGTTAGGATGGGTTTACCAAATATCCTCATTCTAGTTGTCATCAGCTGGATGCATTCACATAGGAAGTGTTGTGATGTTTCTGCTTCCCCTGGGCAGTGTTCACAGTCTTGTGTTTCGAAATTGGAGTTGTTTGCTACCGTCTGGAAGTATGCTAGTGGGCTGTGTCCTGATAGTAGCCATGTTAGCCATCTGATGTGAGTACCTGTGATGTTAATTTTATTGTACCTGTTTTTGTTGAGGAAAAATGTTAGTGGGGTTTTTCCTTTATCACTGAGTGCCACCTGTTTATACTTCTTGATATGGAGATTGAAGAGGTAATCTTTTATTTGGGTGTTGATTATAGTTCTTTACCGTATACTCCTTCATGTCCTGGAACAAAGTTCTACTCGATGAGAAAACCTAGCGAGTTGAGTTGGTCTGAGATGTTCAGAACGAACCTGGAGTTAAAATTGGTGCTGTTAAGGGCTTTAAATGCAGCCTGGGAATCTGAGAGGAATTTATGATTGATTGAGATCCTAAGTTATCATTAGTCCAGATACTTGCCATGTATAACGCAAATAGCGGGTACGATTTCCTCAATGAACCTGAAGAAGGAATATCTGTCCTGAATTGATCCCATGTAACGTCGAGCTTAAAAATGAATCAAAAGTTCGAGTAAATCGTTAAACGTTGTATGTCCTATTTGCATCCCCTAAGCATTGCATTGATGTTTATTCCTGGTCCGGTTAGCTTTGCGTCTCAGAAATAAAGAGGTCCACTATGCTTTAATGAGCTAAGCTGTCCACCAGGGTACTGTAGATCTAAGGGTTCCCCGTGTAATGGGGCAGGCTGTGATAAAGCATCTCTGCAGGATGTCCGAGATGAACTGATTCGAGTGTTGAGAACTTCCGCTGTAGAAACTGAATAGAACCAGTAAGGATGTCAGTCAAACTCTGCTGCTACTAGATGATTGTAGAGCGTCCAGTCACACTTCAATAAAGAGTGTGGCAAAGCTAACCCGGTCCCCTGAAAAGTGGTTACTGGAGGGAGAAGTTCCAGGAATTCTCGTTATCATTGTGTCCTCGTAGTCAGAGTTGAAATCCCTAATTCTGTCTTATCACGAGCCTGTGTCTAGCGTGTGTCAGCCCTTACGCATTAGCTGTCTTAACTGAAAAGACCTGAAAAGTGGTTACTGGAGGGAGAAGTGCCAAGACTACTCATTATCAGTGTGTCCTTGTAGTCAGGATGAGCGAATTGGAATCCCTAGCCCTGTGGTGGGTGACTTCGATGGGACCTGAAAGCTGGAAGAGAATTTCCTGGTGATTTAATAGCTCTTAGAGCTAGGTATCTGTGTCTAACGTATCGTCATTTGTGTGTGTACTATCTTGTAACCTGATATCTGAAAGAGAAATTTCCTGGTGCTTGGTAGCTGTTATTGTTGACTTCCTGGTTCCCATGGGAACTTTGAGTTGGCAAGTCCCAACCTTAGTACTCAACAAGAGAGCACACCACCCGTTAGTGCCAACCAGGCCACACCACGTGGAGGTTCGGAGAGGATTTCGTGACCCTCTCAGTATTCTTATCTCAAGGTTTTTATTTTAGATGTTTTTACTCTGGCCACCTCATTTTGCCAGCTCCTTAACTTATCGATATTACCAGCTCAAGTTTACAAGACGATAACAAAAGAGCCGATGGCTATATTCGAGGAAGAGGACAGTGATGTGCAGATCTCACGTGACACACAGACGGATAATTCAGCCTCAGGTACAGACTTTATGTTGGTTCAATAGGTAACTGCAAAGGTAAAGTCAGATCTGTGTTATATATACTGTGTAACACAGATCTTACGTTACCTTTACAGTTTTCCTGCTAACGTGACTTTTGACTAATTCTGGAATATGTTTCACCTCCCCGCCAGCATCCAGATTTTTCAGTGTGGCCAATATACCAGTATACTTTGTTCAAAACAATTTAATTTTCTCACCAGACATCTCCGACAGGAGGCTCAGTAACCCACGTGTCAATGGTACTCCTCGCTATCACGTTAATCTTGAGGTGAGACTAATAACACGTGACATACAGTCAGATCTTCTCTTAAAAGCTTAAAGAAGAAGATGTGACTGTGAAATAGATCTAGATGGACAGATAATCAATCACCTGAGAACCGAAATAAGAATCATACATGACTTATCAGTGAAGTGCAAATGAAGAAAGGACAGTGTGATTTTGGATGTACGCCAAGATAACTAAAAGAACCACTTCAAAATGTATTCTATCCACGCAAAATAGATGCTTGCAATGATGATCATTATTGACTGAATGTGTACTGTGCCCATATTTTATGGTTATTTTAAGTACTTTTGTGACCAAAACAGTTCAAGTTAAAATAAATATTAGAAGTTAATATTAAATCTTTAAATGTAATTTCTTTTAAAGATTGGTTTGTTATCTACTTATCCAATGCTTTTTAACATCGACCAGACAAAATTGTACAAACAATTAGAGCAGCAGAGAAGCCTATTGGTTACCGAGGTTACCAGGTTACCTAAGTTACCCAGGTTACAAACAATTAGAGCAGCAGAGAAGCCTATAATTGGTGCGGGAGGGAACTCTGCTGACTATTTTTAGGTTTTTATTGTAGAAAATGACTTTTTTGAATGTTTTGACACGAGTAATTAATGGAAATGTTTTAGTGCAATATGATTACCATCTGATAAAAGTTAGAGTATCATTTTGTTGAAAAAATTGTAGTTATTGCCATATTACATCATTGATCAAACACACCAACTTTAATAAATTACCCGATAAAAACTTAAAGGAAGATAAATAAAATAACTGCTGATTGTGAGCCGACGAAAGAATAAAAAGGAACTACAAAACCTCAACCCAGACCGTACGCTGCCAGCCTTGTCTGACTTATGCTCTTTACTTGCTTCTCCTTTCCTTTCTTCTTTGATTCCAAAACATTTTTCTGAGGTGTCTGACTGTTTGCAGACGGCACAGTTTCTGAAGGTTCTGATGACACGACCTTGGTTTTCTTCTTCTCCTCCTTCCTAGAGTCAGCTAATTCCTCATTAACTGCTGAAACGACAGCAATGTTTGAATCATCGGCTTCGTAAGATGCAGCTTCCTTCTTCTTCTTCTTCTTCTTTTTCTTCGCAGGTTCGCTGTTACTCTCTGATTCTAAGGTCGGGCTTGCTATCACAGCTTCAGTCGAAGTTTCATTCGGTTCTGTAGCAATGTCAGTTGATTCTGGTGTTGTCCTGTGCTTTTTGGACCTTCTCTTTTCTTTAAGTCCTGAATTCTCCGGCTGCTCAGCATTTTCCTCTGGATACAAACTGAAACAGGTAATTTGGTAAACGTTGTATAATATGTCATATGCTTAAGATTGAGTCATCCAAAAATATGTTAAAAACGAAAATCTGGGCCCTGGGGGTTATAAATATTAAATTATTACACATATAGCTACCTTTTCAAAATTTGTCTCTTCATAAACTCATTATGTCTCTTATTCAGAAATTTCTTGTTATCCTTAGCTTCTTGACCAGGAGTCCTGAAAAAAAAAACGAGTGTTAAAACTGGATTAGAAAAAAGATCTACTCTGCAGACACGATATAAAGTTACAAATCTATTTCTTTGCTCCAAGAGGTTTAACACCGGAAAAAGAGTAAGTATAGTAAGTGTTAATACGGAATAATGGGGGGGGGGGGGGGGGGGGGGGGGGCCAAGTGGATATTTGTAGATATTTGTAGATTAATGTAGAATGGATAATCCACGAAAAAAGTGGATGACATTCTACAAATATCTACATTTATCTCCAAAAATTCAGTAGAATTTCTGGGCATTAACTTCAATTTCATCACGTTTTATATATGCTAAGTGCTTTAATGATATTATCAGACTTTCCCTTTTCCCTTCTTTTAAATTTTTTTTGAGTGTATTTACATGGAGTTTTTGGGGCCCCTTTTAAAAATATAACAATAAGAAAAAACTTTTATCTAAAAGGGGGGGAAAAATATTTAATTTTTTTGGGTTTCCCTATTTTGGGGGGGGGGGGGGGGGGGGGGGGGGGGGGGGGGTAAAGTTCTGACTTATCCTTGCTGGGCAGTCTGACTTCCCCAAACCCTGCCCCGCCTGAATAGGGAAATAAAAGAGGTTCGTTGAAAAATGGAAAGGGGGGAAGGGAAGAGGGGGTAGGGGGACTGTTTGGGGGGGGGGGATGAAGGGAAGGGAAAGGGGAACTGAGGAGGGGATGAAGAAGGAAAGGGAGGAAGGCGGAAGGAAGGAGGAAAAGGGGTGGGGGGAGGACTAAGGAAAGGGAAAATTGAGGGGATGAGGGTCCCGATCGGGTTAGGGCAGGCCCAGGGGTACTTTTTTTTTTTTTAATTTGCCCAGGCCCAGGGGTGCCATCTTTGTTTAAACCGAGGCCGGGGGAAGCCGTGGGGTGTTTTTTTTACCGTGGCCCGAGGTTTCCTTTATAAAGCCCTTTTTAAAAAACCCATCATGTAATTAGGAAAAAAAAAGGAAAAAAGTTTTTAAAATGAGAAATGAGGGGTTTTGCGTACATATTAAAGGGTAAGGGGGAAAGGAGATGAAAGGGGGAGGAGGACGGGGGAAAAAAAGGAAAGGAAAGGGTGGAGGGGGGTTTGGGGGGACTGGGGGGAGGGAAAGGGCGGGAAAAGGGGCCCGGGAGGAAAAACCTCAAGGGCCCGTAGGGCCGAAAAAGGAAGGGTGAGGGGGAAAAAAAATACTGGGGGGAAGGTTTTGGAGGGGACGGGGGAGGAAGAATCAAAGGGGGGGGACTGAAAGGGGGGAAGGGGTTGGAGGAGGGGAAATTTAGGAGGGGGAAATTAAGGAGGAGGTGGGGTAGGAGGGAAATTAGGAAAAGGGGGACAGGAGGAAAAGGGTTGGGGGTCAGGAGGGGGGGCGAGGAAAGGACTTTAAGGGGAAAGGGGGGACCCGAGGGGGAGGGTGAGGGGGGAAAGGGGGAGGGGGTTGAGGAGGGCCGGGGAAAGGGGAAAAACTGAGGAGGGGAAGGGAAAATAGGGGAGGGAAGGGGGGGCATTTTAAATTTTATTTTTTTTAAAAGTTTTGTTTCCCTTTTTTGGCCATTTTTTTTCCGTTGCCCGGGTGGGGGGCGGAGGATGGAAAGAAACTTTCCCAAAGGGGGGCGAGGGGAACTGAGGAGGAAAGGATAACTGAGGGGGGGACGGGGAAAAAGAGGAACCCGAAAGGAGGGGGGAGGGGGGGGGGGTTTTAGGGGACTGAGGGAAAAAGGGGGGAAAATAATCAGGGGAACATAGGGCTGAGAAGGAGGGGGACTTGGGGGAAGGGGGTGAGTAGAAAGGGGAAATGGGCTTGGAAGAAGGAGGAATGGGGGGGGAATGGGAGGAGGACTTTTGGAGGGGGTGGAGGATTTCGGGGGTGATGGGGGGAAAGGGGGGGAGGGGGAAGGGGAGGAGGGGCATCTAAATGTTATTTTTCCCTGGAGTTTTTTGTCCGTTTTTAACCGTTTAAAGGCCGGGTTTTTTTCCCCCTTTTGGGGAAGAGATGCGGATTTGGGGAAAAAACCCGGGGGACTGAAAGGGAAATGAAAATTCGTGACTGGGGGGAGGAGTTTTAGGAGGCCCGAGGGGAGGGAAGGATTGGGAGGAAGGGGAAGAGAAGGAAAGGGGTTAGAAGGGGGAAGAGGGGGAAGAGTTTTGGGGGAGGGGGGAAAGAGGGTAAGAGTTAAAAAGGGGGGGCCGAGGGGGAAGATTAGGAGGAGGGGGACTGAGGAGGGAAAAGTTAGGAGGGGGGGGAATGAGGAGGAAGATTAGGGGGAGGAGGGCCGGGAAAAAGGGCCCCCTTTCTGGGGGGAGGAGGTTTCAGATGGGGGGGAAAAGGGGGACGAGAAGGAAAATGTACAATGTAATTTTCCGGGTACGAGGGGAGAGGAGGGAAAAAGGTTTACTGAGGAAGGGGCTTTAGGAAGAGGAACTGGGAAAAAAGGTGGAAAGGGTGAGGAAAGGAAAGGGGAAAAAAGGACAGGAAGAGGAGATCTGAGGAGGTTTATAAGGGGAGGGTTCAGGATGAGGGAAAAGGATGATTTGGAACCCTGAGGGAAAGGGTGAAAGGGGGATGAACCATCTAAAAGCATTTTTCCCTAACATTTTTTGTTCCCCTCCGGAAATGCGGAGGAGGGTATTTTAAGAGGGGGGAGGGGAGGTTGGGAAAGGGCTGAGAAGGAAAGGAAAGGAGGAGAAGGACTGAGGAGGGGGAGGAGGGGAGGGGATGAGGAGGAGGAGGAGGGGGAAGGGGGAGGAGGGGGAGGGGGAGGAGGAGGGGAAAGGGGGATAAAGGAAGGGGGGGAGGCTTGGGGGGAGGAAGAGGGCCAAGGAGGAGAAGGAGCATGTGGTTGACTTTTTTCGTAAACACCCCATTGGGCAAGGAAACATTGCTTTGTGAAATTAGTATGAATTTATCTTGAGCCGTCCTGCAGGGAATCAAACTTTTTCTGGAGAATTTTTTGCCCAAAAAAACTTTAAACCCCACCCCGGAAAAACATGAATTTGAAATCCCCCAGCTTCGCTTTCTTGAAACGAAAGGAGCTAAAAAACCCCCCCCCCCCTCCCAAAAGGGGGGTTGAGGGGATATAAAAGGAGGGTGTCAATGAGGAAGATGAGTAGGAACATTTAGAAGGAAAAAAGGGGGATGAACCACTAAAAAGTTATTTCCCGTAACATTTTTGGTTTCCCCCGAAAAAACATGAAAATTTTAACTCTCTCATCCCCTTTTTTGATCAAAGCTGATCAAAATCCCCAAAATTGTTTTTCCCCCGTTCCAAACAAAAGGGGTTTCTCCCATCATTCCCATCGTTCCGAAGAGGGTTGTGCGACCCCAGTTTGCCCGGGGCCCCCCGGGAAACTGTTTTCCCCCGGTTTTAACATTTTATAAGTAAACATCCTGCAAGGGGGGAAATCCCCCTTCATCATTCACACTCAGTCAACTCTGCAGGGTCATTTTTATCCTCCCCCATTCAATCGGGTGATTTTTTCATCTTCAAAAAATTTTTCAGGGAAGGGGAACTTGAATTTTACCCTCGTTCCCCGACAGCCCCCGGTTAAACCCCGTTCCATGGGTTTTTTTCAAACTATTTTATTTTGATGTCCACTTGAATCAAATTTGGGCCCCTTCGTATCATTTTTCCCTGTCCGGTTTTAGTGGGGAAATTCTTTTCCCCCAAAATACTGCGTCCAGGGGAAAGGGCATGGCTTCATGTCATCTGCCCAAAAGCGAGCTCTACGAAAAATTTTTTTTCTTTGCAGCCGTATGCTAAAGTTATGGCATTTGAATTTGGCGGCGACCAGCAAAAAATTTCCCCGTTCGAAAACCAAGCAAAGAGTTTTCATTAGCATCAGATCCTAGTAGGTATGGTTTTTTACTTTGCAGAAAAAAAGGGGATAGAGAAAGATCCATCGCAATTAAAATTTCAATCTTTAAAAAAGCTGCCAAGTTATAAATGACAAATATCGTTAAATTTGAAAACCGGAAAAAAAAAACTTTCCCTAAGGGAAAACCTTTACTAAAAAAATGGGTACTCCCTTCAAAAAAGTCCTTGGGTGAAATCCTTCTCTCAAAAAAAAAATAGTAAACAGGACAATCCAGAAAAAGTGAAGGGTCTTGGGGGCGGGCCCTTTAGATTCAAAGCACTGAGGAAAAAATTTTGGGAAGCATTAGGGGTTTTTCCTTTGATGAAATTATAGTATTTAATCAAATTTTTGGGAAACCCCAAATTTAGGGATTTTTAAAACATGTATTAAAATTTCTAGAAACTTTCTGGAAACCCAAAAAATAAAACATGTAATGGATAAGAAACCACAAAATTTTTATACATTTTTTGAGATAAATGTAATATTTTTTAGATAATTTTTTCAATGGATAATTTTACGAAAAAAAGGGTACATTTACAAATATCTACAAATATCCTTTGGCCCCCCCCCCCAATAATAATAAAGTGCATCTGTTTCTTTGTGAGGTTTTGACGGGAGTATACCTGAGATTGAGTGGGTATACGTGTGGGTTACTTGGTAAAGAATGGGCTACTATACCCGTATTTCATCACTTCTTTTAAAGGGGTACCCCTGGTTTTTGCTCTTTTTCATCCGCCCTCAAAAACTGGGTTTAAAAAAAAAATTTAAAAAAGAAACGTTAAAACCTTTAAAAATTTTAAATCTGTGCGATTTTCCCAAAACTCATTAAAAAAACAAAAACATAGGGAAAAACTCATCACCCATGCAAGGGAAAGAGAAGAGAGAGAGGAGAAAGAAGAAGAGGAGAGAAGAGAGAGGAGAGAAGAGAAGGGGAAAAAAAGGGGAGAGGAAAAGGGGGAAGAGAAGAGAGAAAAGAGGGGGAGAAGAGAGAGAGGGGAGAGAGAGGTTTTAAAAAAGAAAAAAGAGAAGAAAGAGAGAGGAAGGGGAAGAGAGAAAAGAAAAAGGGGAGAGAGAGGGGAAAAAAGAGAGAAGAGAGAAGACCTTTTTTGCAGTTCGAAGTTCTGAACGTTAGCCACGTCACCCATAGTCCCATATGCACCGCTCAGAAAGAAAATCTATTGTTGTTAGGTACTATAATGTTTCAAATGTCACATTTTGTGTGACTTAGTTAACTGCAGTTGTCTAATTATCATTCCTTGGTCTGAAATATAGTAAATTAGGTCTATCTAACAATTATGATACAACATTGGTTAATGGGCACGGATCGAACGGTTACAAGGCAATATTTGGGTAACTTTGTCACACTCATGATACCATACCTCTATTCTACTGGGAGGTGTCCTAAAAACCCTTTCAACTCATTATTTTAGGGTTGCTTTACCAAGCATAGCCCTAAAATATGTTGTTTTGAATAGTTAGCTAATACAGGCACTTGGTTATTGGGAAATGAGGTTAATTCTGTCACAATATATGAAATTTAAAATTTTGGGCGAATAATTTATATCTGATTTTGGTTTGAAAGGCGGGAAAATTTTATATGATGACAATGTAGTTGATGCAAGTTAAGATCAGTTGATGTTTACATTGTCACAAAAAATTATACGAAATCGTAAATAGATTAAAAACAATGATTATAGAATGAAATAGTCTCTTATAATAACTCTTATAATAACTGATGTGACAAAGTAAACATGTCTTGCCCCTATTTTGAAGATCTATATTCTACACCTCTATTAGAATATTGTCCAGAACATCAGAGCTTAAGTTTAACAATTTTAGGTTAAATTTGTCAAAGTCACTAAAAATGTGACATAATTAACTTTTCATGCCCCAACAATTTCAAGATAGTGTGTAAAAATTAGCATAAGCTGCTTTATTAATTATTACCTATATAAATCAATCCAAACTACAAAAAATATATGTTAATGTGATGACGATTACCTAACTCTTATAATAACTGATGTGACAAAGTAAACATGTCTTGCCCCTATTTTGAAGATCTATAACTCTATTAGAATTCAACATTATTTCAGAAACGATTGGAAGAATATTGTCCAGAACATAAGAACTCAATTTTTAAAATTTAGATTAATTTGTCAAAGACATTGAAAATGTGACAAAATTAAATTTCCCTGCCCCAACAGTATCAAGATAGTGTGTTAAAATTGGCATAGGATTTATTACAGGTATATTAAAGTATTAATCGATCCAAACTACGAAAAATATCTTTTAATCTGATCATGATGACGATTACCTAACTCTTATAATAACTGATGTGACAAAGTAAACATGTCTTGCCCCTATTTTGAAGAACTATACTTCTATTAGAATACTATGTAACTTTATCATCATAAAAATTTCGATAAACTAGTTATTTTGCCAGCAAGGAGCTAACAGAGTTATAATAATTTGTTGTGACGAAATTACCCTATTTTTGACCATGTAGCGGTAGTTTAATTGTGACACTGTTAACATATTACCACCTGATAATGATTTATGTGACTGGTGCATGGTACTAGCAGTGTTGTTTGATCCATAGTACGTATAATATAAGGGGTTTAAGCAGGTATATCATTATTTGTTCAATTTCACACATGTTCAGATATTATCAAGATTATGTGACAAAGTAAGCTTGGTTGTGCCTTCTGTGTTTTAATTTCTTACGACTATATGATATAATAACAATTCCCAGCACTTCCAGGCCATCAAATAAACTTACACTACTCAGCATTGCTTATCAGGGTGCCCTAAACATTCATCACATATTTTCTTTAATGTGTGACAGAGTAAACCTGAATGCACCATCTAACGAAAAAAGTCGTCAAATATGTAGGTAATGGTCATATGTACCCATCCAATCAACTAGACACTCAAAAATTTGGTCAAAAACGGCAGCAAGGGGTCCATATTTACTCCGTCACATGTTTATAGTGTGACAATGTAACCATTTCCGTGCCGGCCGTATTTAAGCGATATCTTATCACCTGATTAAGATATCGTTATGTGACAAAGTTAGCCTAGAGGATGAGACGATTATCCTAACCATCAAGGGTTTAAGTAATTTCATAGTGTGACAAAGTCAACTACACTGTGCCTTTTAATAGGGTCACTTATATTTACCAATATCCTCAAACTCAAATGAACGTGTCCTTATAGCTGATTTTGTTTACATAACTTTAACTATAAGAATATGCGGTTTTCCATACAACGTCTAATATTCAGCAAAAGTTATGGCAAGAAGTAATTGATATTGATTTATCATAAGAACATGTGGATTTTTGTATTATGGTTCACTGCAACAGCTGCCATCCTCGGATCAGGTATTTTCAACTTTACATTATTTATTTTGTCTCTGGAATGTGTAGTTCCTTCATAAGTGGTGACTCATTTCATGATTCATCAGGAATTTATTCGAGCGACCACTCATAAACTATTTTTCAGCAACTGGAGTGATAACATGGACAGAAGATCAAAACACGCTGAGCGTTGCTAAAACAACCAATATTGACAGTCTTGTTACAGGGTCTCAGCTTAACGTCAGGTAAGCATCTTGCCCTTTTAAGGAATACTTGTTAATATTATTAGATTTCTAAACATCGGAGAATTAAACTGTCACTTTTGAGCACTCAAATTTTTGATTGAAAGTACAAAGATTATAAAATTTATGGTATACATTTTTAGGGCCCAATTTAACAGTTCTAAAGAGGGAGTGATAAAGTTCTTGACTGAAGCTGATTTAACAGCTTTCTACTTAGCTGTAGCTACAGATGGTCTCACTGTTACTTGTGGAAATGACAGAACCAAGGTTTAAGATCATATTATACAAACAGAAACAATATTCGTTTGATACGATGGTGAAATTTGATGATTGAATTTCATTCCAAAATTAACCTAGATAACTAATTTTGCAAAAAACTCACGCTCAATATTAAATTCAGTTTACAAAAAATCTGAGATCACCGCTAAAAGAGGGTGAGAGTTACGAATACCAAGTGGATATTACAAATGAGGGATACTCGACTACTTTCCAGAGAGAAAAGTTGCCGGTCACTCTCTACGCTAAGTCCGGTAAATTTAACTTGTAGTTTCACGAAAGGTAGTATTACAGTAGTTTTACAGCCTATGTTACCAGGCGTGCCTATCCTTATGCGCGGCGCTCTTTTCGAGCATCTCACTCTATACGTGAGAGAAGCAAGCAATACACTAGCAAACTAGGTAACAATCTAAGTAAATACCGCTAATTTCAAGGCTCATAGGATCTATGATTATGAAGAAAATCTACTAAAACGTTGATAATTGAACAATATTATCATGAAAAATGTGTTTAACATAGCTGTTGTATCTTGTGTCAATCAAAGAAATTTCTTTTCCTTTTTCGATATTTATATCAGGCCGCAAATTCACATGATTACCATAACGGGAGTAAACCAAATATGAGTCAAATCAAATATGTCTGGTAACTAAGTTGGTAACTGCTGGTAACTACTGGTAACTGCTGGTACTACTTTGACTATTACACGTGTAATCAACCGCTTTTATGCTTTCACATTATCTTACTTCCTTTTCCCATCAGGCAGTATATATATGCATTTAGTTTAACTAATTGAAGTAATTATGTAAAACGACCCCTTCTAGAATTTAACCATAAAAACCGCTGCTATATTTACGTCTTCAGTTTACAAATCAGTGAAACACAAACATACTATGCGGGGGGACTACAGACCCCCTCAAAGTCCTTTACAACGTTACTGCCAGGTTACATAGCACTCAAATTATTTGTTATATAGTAGTGTTGAAAGTATTAAAACTATATGTTATAATAATATGTGCGAAATAGAAAAAAAGCTAGCTATTAAGCAATGGAAAAATTAAATAAATGGAATGAAAAATGGTCTCGAAAAGTCGAAAAATGTGACTAAAACAGTTGTAGACTAAAAATTTGCAAAATTTGTGACTAAAATTATGGTAACCAAATTTTTGTAACCAACATTTACCAAATTTATTCCGGCCTTAAGGTAACACAGAAACCGGAAAAAATTATAACATATAACACCTTGGTGTGGCTTCGTGCCCCGCGGTCCCTCCGCTAAAGCGTCGGGATTTATCGCGGGTAGCACTCAACAGCCAAGGTATTATTGTATTATAACTACTGGTAACTCTCCTAGACTGGCAGTGTATGCACGTGGATACAGACTTTGGAGGATACGATATACACGAGGGGAACTCTTCTGGAATCGCGGACTGTTATAACAGGTACCTTATTGGACGTTATTTGACCGAAAACGCGAACCTACATAATGTTTATAAATCTACTTACTTACTTAGGACTTCCACCAAAATTTGAACGGACATTAAGATGTAACTTTGGGGCCAAGGTATGAAGTGTTACGTTTGGCCCCGGCCCCTTATAGTTTTACTAAATTTGACTTCTCGTCCTACTAGGTGTCTAAATATGACAAATTGTGAAGCTTTCGCGATCGTTTACAAAGGGAGTATTAGTTTGAAACAAGTCAACTGGTGCTGGTGTAAGAGTCGGAAGTATGGTAGAGGAGCAACCCGTTTGGTAAACATTAAAGCCGCTAATATGGACTGCTTCATAGGTTGGTTCTATTGCAAATTTTAACCAACATCAGATGTTAAGCTATAATGAAACCGATTTTCTTAGATTTAAAACAGTATACTCTAATTCTTTCATGTTTTCTGATGTTTAGAAGTGAAGTGTATTAATTTATCCATATCACGAAACCATGATATCTATTATCTAAGCTATCAATTTTGATTTCTGCAGTATATTCTTTACGTATTTCTCCTCATTCTAACTTTGTTAGTAATAAAATATTATTCATTAGATAACACAGATGTAAAGAAGTTGCAAGGATCTGGAGCTGTTTTTAACGAACTTACACTGGGAATATTACAAGGTATTTATCAGATCTGAATAGAGTTTAGAGTTTAGTTTAGAATATTACTGTCAATATTTAGAATACACACGACACCAGTATAACTCACAAGACATCATATCACATATAATAAAACAATATATATTATGACATTATATAGTGTATAATCTTACTAGATAAAGGGTGATGGGAAAAATTGAACTTTTTTCAAATCCTTTTATCAGGTCGATCAATTCTTTTGTGGTCAGAATCAATAAGACAGTGTTAAAATTCAAAGCTCTCATAATTACCATTTTACTCCACGTTTCATGCAATTATATCTATTTTGGTAAAATATATATTTTCTCGAAATTTTAATGGGCGGCGCTCAGTCTGTCAGTCTGCCGCAGCTTGTATCGGTATTTATGAACAATATCAGCCAGGGGTCGTGGGGTCCCCAGGTAAGAAACATTTTTAAGTGAAAGAATTTCGACGTTTCTCTAAAAACTGCTTTTCTCCGGTTTTAAATCAATTCCGATCTTCTTCAAAGCCAATGAGAATTTGTTGGTCATTAGCTAATTGGTTAATTATCCAATTAACTGATTATCTGACGTTAAAATTGTTTAAAAAAGTGTTTCTAATTGATAATTTAGACACCCTCGATTAATCTGCAACTTTCTACGATGTCCACAACTAAAGATATTTGACAAACAAGAGACGTGGTAAAAATTGGCCATAACATGTTTTGTCAGCCATAAAGGGCATCTAATGGAACTCTAATCTAAACGTAAAAATTCCTATACTAGAAAGCTTCTCGTGTTAGCAACTCCATTTTTCAGACGGATTTGTCCGTACTAAATACTAATGGATCAGATTACATTATAACTGGTTTGTGAATCTGTTGTTTTGACAGGAAGAAACAACGTTGAATGTGACAGATTGGCATGTGACGAGACCAATGAATGTGAACCTGATAAACTGATCAAAACTCAGGATCAATGCTGCCCAGTCTGTAAGTCCTCGTGGGATTAAGGATTTATTTATTGTTGGAAATATTTAGTTCGGATGACTCAGTTCCAAGTTAATCATTAACGTACATTATCCGCCCTCCTTTACTCATTTTGAAACGGTTTATCTAATTTCTGAAGGGTACAGTATTGTACGACGTGTAATCTACACATGTTGTAAAACTTTATTGAACAAAATTAAACCAGCAAGAGCTTGGTGGGCGACAAATACTGAGTACTGACACTCACGAGCACCATTGATTTTGAAAGGGGCATCCTAAAAAATGGAAAAAAATTCCTATGAATGAAAATTTTTAAAAAATGAAAAAAAAATTCTAAAAAGATAAAAATCTAAAAAATAAAAAAATAAAAAAAATAAAATTAAATAAAAAAAATTTAAAAAATTAAGTACAAAAAAAATAATAACAATTAAGTTTATTGTTTAATATAATAAACTGATAATTGTTTTACCCCTCAGGTAACACAACAAAGAACGGAACATGTGTAACAGTAGCTGGCAACACGCTCTGCAATGTTACGGTTGCGTGGACACCACGTGTGAGTGAGACAGGAGCAATATTTGCTATGATAGTACCTGTCCTATTCACTGTGGTAATGTTTGTGTTGTATCTTGTTATTAGAATTAAATTAGGTTATAAAACCCCTGGACAGATATTAAGGACACGTACAGGAGAAACACTGATCTATTGTACGCTAAGAAACATTTAGGGAGTGCCCAGTATGGGAAGATTAAAAGAGAGTTACTTGTGACAGAACTTAAAGTGAAGTTTTTAAACAAAAAAGAGACAGATTACAAAGATATAGAAGATAATTTATTGAAAGAGGAAATAATTATACTTAAAAAGAAGGAATCAAAACAATACAGTAAGTTTTACATTAACGGTGAAGTAGCTAATTTATTTAAAGAGGAAATAATAAGTATTAAGGAGATAAAAGTAACAAAAGGTGATGTTAAAGGATTTATAAAACGTAGGCAGATCCTCGGATGTATAACTTTACCATTACGTTGTGCACATAAACTTTTAATTTCACAACTTATTATTTTACCAATAATTGCTATTTTATGGGATATGGTGGACGTTTTGTTTGACACGTATTATTTTTATAAACTAGAGCGTGGTGAGTTAATAGATCCCTTAATTTACAGAAATACTCACGTTAATAATAGTATATTAGGATTTGCATGTTTAGGTGCTATTAAAAGTGTGATAGTTGCTCTCTGTTATCTTGTTATTGTGCAGAATAACAAGAATGAGAGGAGGAACACAACGAGGTGGTGTTATTTACATTGTTAGCTGTATCTGTTAAATTATTGTTAGAAGATGCACCTGAGTTAATATTAGAATACTTTTTTGTAGATAAATTTATTATTAATAACCCTCCTTGGTTTCTGGTAGCCAAGGACGTTGTGACTGCACTAATTTATATTTTACCGGTTATAGGGATATTAAAGTCAGGTTTTAATGATTTTAAGTTAATTAAGGAGAAAGAAGGCAGTTTGGAGGCATATTTACTTTACATTCCAGCAACACTAGCAAGAGGATGTATGAGTTTTGCTATGATATTTAGAATAGTTGGAATGATTATCCAGTACATGGGTAGTACTGTTAATGCAGAGTGTTTTGTTGTATTCGATAATGCGTTACAACAGACACCTTTCGCATTGGGTTGTTTAAACTGGTGCGATTATACAGTACTGGTTCTTACTTGTTTAACTTTATTATCGTCAATACCACCAGTTATCTTCTTTATCTATTTGATCGTGAAATTATTTATTTAGTATTTACATTGATTGATAATTCTGTTCACGCCAATAAGTACCGATATTTTATTTATGCTAAGTGTTTAGTGTATTAATTATATCCTGAGTGGATGTGTAAGATATCCAGTGCAGATTTTGAAATTGGACTAGTGCATAATATTATGAAGCATGTAATTTGTATTTTATAATGCATTATAGTGTTTAGTAGGGAGCATAACGGCTCTCGACACATAAAGTGAAATAAGGCAAATAATAACTGGTGAAAATTAAATAACAATAATCGACGTTTCGGCACTTATGACTCATTGGCCTCAAGCTAACTTCTAATCAATTATTATAAATGGGAACTGTACAACGGGAAATGTAAACAGGAAAATTAAATATAAACGGGAAAATTAAATAGGGACGGGAAATGTATACAGGAACATAAAATATAAACGGGAAATGAAATTTGAGGACTACACTCAGATTGTTTTTTAAAGACGCCCTTGATAAAGACGGAGCCTTCAAATGAACAAAAATTAAAAACGACAAAAATTCAAGATTTAAAAATTAAAGACGCCACAACAAGTCTAAAAATAGATCAGATGTAATAAAGCACATTTCACACGCTGACCTTACTTCTACCAGCAAAATTAAATACGGTGAAGCCTTCGCCAAAATTAATCGTCTTTATAAAACAAACTGAGTGTATATTAAAGAATAAATGATGGTTGTCAATTGTTGAGATAACGAAAGCAAATTATTTAGAATTAGCAGCACAAGAGATTAGGGCAACGAACAAATTTGAAAGCCACTGCGATACTGATAATGTGCTACCTACACTCCAATGACAAAACAGAGATGTCACGTGGGGGTCTTTCCGGAAATGTTATTGGTCGACAAACGTATTCAAGCAGTGGCTTATCGCAACTACGGCGACAGATAAATATAAGATAATGCAAGATAGCGAGCTTATCGTAAACGGTAAACGGAACTGCTAATATCAGGTGTTTATTTCTGGCACTACAATTACCAGAATACGTGATGCTCCTATTATAATAATACCCAATCAGATGGCTGTATTATTCGAGTTTAGTAAACTATAGAGTAGGGCTACCGCTACATTTCCATGGTTGATATGGCAACGTTGACACCCTGAGGGGTCCGTTTTGTGTAATATATTGAGAACAGCCGCTATCAGGTATTATTGAGTGTTATCATGGATTTATCAGAGATTGCGGTACTACGATACTGCGATAGAATATAAAATGATAAATAGTCAACTAGGCCAATAACAAATAAGCAAATGCATTCGACTTCTGGATGTCGTAGAATACTCTAGGTTGGACCAGTGTGTTTAAAAATAAAAGAGAACAACTTTTAGATTATATAATTAATTAATCAATTAATATGAAAATTTTCAAAAATTTCAAAAATATTTTTTGATCAAAATTGTTCACAATCACATAAAACGTATAATTAACTACGTTTTATTAAATTTATCGGGAAATCAAAGCAGTAATTTCTACAGCTATAACTTTAAAATATCTGTTTCGACTGTTTAAACTACTTATGAGTCCTCAACTGGCACATATATTAATAGTGGTCAATATGACACTACAATATGTGGGAAATGTAAGAAATGACTGCTGAGTGCTGAAAAGTGGGGACTAGAAGACATGACTGCTGAGTACTGGAGAGTGGGACTATAAAGTAGAAGACATGACTGCTGAGTACTGGAGAGTGGGGACTATAAGACATGACTGTTGAGTACTGGAGAGTGGGGACTATAAGACATGACTGTTGAGTGCTGAAGGGTGGGGACTATAAGACATGACTGTTGAGTGCTGAAGGGTGGGGACTATATAGTAGAAGACATGACTGCTGAGTACTGGAGAGTGGGGACTATAAGGCATGACTGCTTAGTGCTGGAGAGTTGGGACTATAAGACATGACTGCTGAGTACTGGAGAGTGGGGACTATAAGACATGACTGCTGAGTACTGGAGAGTGGGGACTATAAGACATGACTGCTGAATACTGGAGAGTGGGGACTATAAGACATGACTGCTGAGTACTGGAGAGTGGGGCCTATAAGACATGACTGCTGAGTACTGGAGAGTGGGGACTATAAGACATGACTGCTGAGTACTGGAGAGTGGGGACTATAAGACATGACTGCCGAGTGCTGGAGAGTGGGGACTATAAGATAGGACTGCTGAGTACTGGAGAGTGGGGACTATAAGACATGACTGCTGAGTACTGGAGAGTGGGGACTATAAAGTAGAAGACATGACTGCTGAGTGCTGGAGAGTGGAGAGTGGGGACTATACGACAGGACTGCTGAGTACTGGAGAGTGGGGACTATAAGACAGGACTGCTGAGTACTGGAGAGTGGGGACTAGAAGACATGACTGCTGAGTACTGGAGAGTGGGACTATAAAGTAGAAGACATGCCTGCTGAGTACTGGAGAGTGGGGACTATAAGACATGCCTGCTGAGTACTGGAGAGTGGGAACTATAAGACATGACTGCTGAGTACTGGAGAGTGGGACTATAAAGTATAAGACCTGACCGCTGAGTGCTAAGTACTGGAGAGTGGGAACTATAAGACATGACTGCTGAGTACTGAAGAGTGGGAACTATAAGACAGGACTGCTGAGTACTGGAGAGTGGGGACTATAAGACATGCCTGCTGAGTACTGAAGAGTGGGAACTATAAGACATGCCTGCTGATACTGGAGATTGGGGACTATAATATATGAGTATATGACTGCTGAGTGCTGGAGAGTTGGGATATAATCTCCTGATTTTTTAATAAAAAATATTTTTATAAGAACCCATTTGCTGTATAGTAAACTGTAGAGGCTTTCAGTACTTAAGTTTTTTTAAACGACTTCTTGAGCATTCGTCGTCGATTATTTCCAAAAATCTGGAGTTATTGATAATAATACGATCCCTTAAATATTGTTGATTTTTTATCACAAGGTAGTTTAGAATATAGTATTCCAATGATCAGGGCAACACAAATGGATCATTAGGCTTCAGATATCTTTCTGGAGTATTCTATATCGGCGTGAGTCACCAAGGTGTTGGTGTCGAGGTACCATATATTATGTAGTATCAAAATAGTACTATATATAATTTAACCCGCAATTAACATCTGAGACTACTAACTAAATCCTTTTAGAGTCAAGATATTACGATAAAGTCCGAGGAGGATACGATACAGGCAAGATCAAGTCAAAAAGAGTTTTTCTTTGGTTCGCAATTTAAGTTTTATAATATGTGTTTGATTTTATTAACAAATTAATTTGATTTTATAACAAATTTTCTAACTTTCCTCTCCTTGGATAACTACTAACTGTGATGAACAACTTTATGATACGGTATTTGGTAAATTGTAAACATTACTGGAAAGTGGTATCAGTGTTAATCAAAATTTTTGTTGTTTTCAATATTTTAATTCATTTCGGCAGTAAAATTTATAAATTTTTTACTCACGGTTTATATTTCGCAAATTTTCAGTCTGGACTGATTTTAAGATTAAATTTTGAAAAAAAAAAAAACATTAAGACTACAACGTTATTAAGTCAAGAACACATCATAGTTGATTCTTCCAATAAGCTAGCTCCAACAAACTCATAACTAAGTCCTAAGTACCATACCCACTACCAAGTTGTTACTTTTGATAAAGTGTTTACAAACTTCTCCATAAAATATCTACACGGCGATAAAATAACTACTTACTGATAAGGTCCTCGTCAGAGTCACTGAAGACTGATAAAATAACTACTTACTGATAAGGTCATCGTCAGAGTCACTGAAGACTGATAAAATAACTACTTACTGACAAGGTCATCGTCAGAGTCACTGAAGACTGATAAAATAACTACTTACTGATAAGGTCCTCGTCAGAGTCACTGAAGACTGATAAAATAACTACTTACTGATAAGGTCCTCGTCAGAGTCACTGAAGACTGATAAAATAACTACTTACTGACAAGGTCATCGTCAGAGTCACTAAAGACTGGCTTCTTCACGTCTTCTTCCTGGTAGTAGTCCTCGTCAAACAACTTGCTCATAACCTTGTCGTGCTCCTCTGTGTGGGCAATTAACTTGTTTATAATTAGTTAATGTGTTCTACTGACCTGATAACAAATCATGGAACATAATGTTTTTCAATGAACTTCTGAAATCTAAGAAAATGACTTTGATCCAAGTTTTGGAGTCAGAATGTGTCTCTCTCCCAGAATAATAACCTTATTACCTGGATTGAAATCTTCTTCTAGGCAGCCCTCGAGGGCTGGTTTCAAATCAGTTCCTGCGTTCTCTGACAATATCTGTAACTTTGTCTCTATTTCGTCTAACTTCAGTTTCTTCAGTCGTTCAATCTCCTGCTTTCTCTCTTCTTTTTCCTTTAGACATATTATGTATTGTTATAATGCATAGGATCCAACTGCAAACAACATCTCATTTTATGTAAGTTAGAATGAAATAAAGTAGCAGTAGATGGTGACGTTATTTGATAACTATAATTACAATGCTATGTCTGATGCGGGATATTGTACGCTCTTCCTCAGCGTAGTACTAAATATTAAATGTCAGAAAACTGTGTAACCTTCAGTTTTCTGTCTTGTTTTCTTTTTCGTTTCTCCTTCCTGCCTTCGTTGTTTTTCCTCACACTGTTCGCTATCGTACGAGGGTAATTCTTGATCTGAAATGGAATATCAATAATTATTATTCTGATAGTTTTAATCTCTAACTTTCTGTATTTGACTCCAATAGTACGATATGCTGTAGGTACTAAAAGTTGAATTAGAAAAAACACGGACTACATAATATGTACATATATTATGTACATATAATGTGTAAATATAACGATGACTCACAAGGTCATGATCAGGTTCTTCATAACGGAAGTTAAACTGCCGTTCGAACTTTGCGTGCTGTTGCAGCTCGTCATCCTGTTAATATTGTGACGTCATCCTAACGTATGACGTCATCAAATGATATAAACCAGGGAAATATAATGGAGGAATTTGGAAGAGCTGATGATGATTCAAAAGAAATTGGTGCTTAGTAAATTCAACTCACGTCGTCGTTCACAATCTCATCATACGTTGGGACACTGAAGTAAAATATTTCAACAACAAAAAAGGAAAATATCATTTCAATTTTGTGTTATTATAATTGGAGAGAGCTGCGAGGAGGATTGGTTTTAGGGGAAGAGAGCTGAAGAAGCTGGTACGGGACAGTGGGAAAGAGGCAGCCCACTGTTCCAGATGGATTTACTTGTTATCGAGAAAGAGGGAGTGGGAGTTCAGGAAGGTTGGAGCTTGAGAGTTCACTATAACATCTAGAGGTACCATAAACGTTATCTCGTCGCCAATTGCGAGCTCTAACGGGTCTCCTCAAGTGACTCTCGGATCAGATGGTGGTTCAAGGGTGGACTGCTGGGGCGCCTGACAGGAAACCGTATTGCAATTAAAGCCCCGAAACGGTGTCAGGTTGGTAACTGATGATTCTGATCCATGCTCCTGTGAGTTTGCTGTTGTATCCCAACTCGCTAAACTGAGGCATCTCCGCATCTTGGGTGAATATGCGTACATCTTCATACTAAACCCAGGTGTGGCATGTGTCAGTGAATACGGGCGAGCGGATGCAATAGCGAAGGTGGTGTGGCAAGGCCTAAAAGACACAGTCAGATAGTTGTCAGCTCGCTGACTGTAAGGGAGAAGGTATATCCGTATTTCGCTGCTACTGATGCAGTCCTTGATCTGGCAATCAAGGCTTCTCTGTTTTTCGTCTAACTATGTACCGTTGGGCTTGTGGAACCCGTAAGGGGGACATACATAGGTTAGAATGGTTTTGTGCACCAAGAGGAGTGAGGGAATGAGGGTTGAAGAGAGAGAGCTTGAGAGTTGTTAGGGTGGTTAGGATTAGTAGGTGGAGTGTTTGGTTGGAGCCTTCTGTTTTTGCTGTATAGCATTTTAGTCACTCCGCAGTTTATTAACTGTGTCTCAACTCTATATATATAGCGACATTATGATGACGTATGTATCGCAAGTTTTGATTTCAGCATCTGAACGGTCAAGTAAATTTACAATTTAAGGTGCAGAAAAAAGTGTTGATAGACTTACAAATCTTTCTCATCTTCCTCTGCCCAGCCTTTGTTTAAGATGAAATCCCTCAAAAACTTCTCATTTTCCTCGATATTGGGATCGGACCAAGCTTTCTTTAGGTGGTCACAGTCACTTTTCAGATTCTTGTCTTTTATCTTGGATTTCTCGCCTTTCATCCACTGTCGGTAATCTTCATCTTCCTTTTCCTGTTAGCGTTAATGGGGGTTAATGGTTAAATAAAAAGTTAAAATAACATCTTTCGCAGATCTAGCCCAGTATCAGTTAGTTTTAAACAAAACATCCAAACTACTACCGTAGATATTGTGCTTTTAAATGGTAGGATTTATCATGAAAATGGGAACATAAAAGTTAACCTTATCATTATCAGACTTAGGACGAAGAGTCAGAACAGGCTCCTCATCTACCACAGAGTTCAGGGCTGACTTCAGGCCCTCTTTCAGAGCTCGCTGTTCCTCCGTGTAGGTAGGAGCAGATGGGGTGTCCTCGTCTGAGTCAACCACCAAACTGAAAGAGTTGTACATGGTGATGATATTCTTGTTAATTAGTCATCCTCGGACGTCTAAATTAATCTATAAAGATTACTGATATGAGTTACTTTTTGATCGTGGCCTCAACTTTGTTGTCGTCTCCACTTCCAAGAAATATTTCAACTACCAGTCAATCGGCTAATAATGCCTTTAATGGGCAAATGAAACGTGGTTGAATTTACAAGGAAACAAGTCATAAGCAGTGTTAATCACCTCCTTTAGTAAGTAGTGTTTCTCGCTCGTAGTCTTTCAAAAACATAGGCTTTTCTTTCTTCTTTTTTGTCTCGCCATCATCCCCACCTTCTGATCAACACATTTAAATTAATCTGTCATTGAAATCCAATTTTTTCAATATCAAGTCATCAGCACCAAAGTCTGTTAGAATATGAAAATAATTGTAACGGTCGCCCTATTTTATCAATTTAAAACCGGCCAGCTGAAACCAGGTATAATACGAACTGGACCAGCCAATACCATATTAGAACCATACCGACAGTCTACTGCTAACAGTTATGTAGAGTAACCCCCCTGGCCCCTACTGTAACACTTCCTCACCTTTATTTGCATCCTCACCCTCACCATTCTCAAACCAATTCTTGTCCTTGTCGTAGATGGCTGGGTCCTTGCTTTTCAGCTTTGAGAGAACTCGCAGGAAGCCCTTGTCTTTTGCGATGCTGTCGTACTGTTAACGACCAAACGTTAGGTTAAACAAGCAGAACCCCCCCCCCCCCCCCCGCCCCTTAAACAAGCTGAGTGTAATCATATCAGCTTGATATATGGCCGAATGCCGGATTGCTATAGTGTAGTTACTCAAACAGGGAGGTCACAAGGGAGTCACTTAAACAACAATCGGATGAAGTTAGAGGGTTTTTATAAAAAGACAGAGTAAGAATTAGTAATTACTAATTAGTAATTAATTAATTAATTACTAATTAATTAATTACGAACCATGGCATCCTCGTCTTCCTCTGAACCGCTGCTACTATCCTCCTCAATTTGAGCGTCCTTTCCATACTTCTCCTGTACTGCAAATAACATGTCTCAAAATTGACATAATTCGTGAGATAATCCGAATTATCTGATTATTATTTATAACGTAAACACTGCCGATCATAGATTTACCCAGGATAAATAAAAAGACAAAACTCAAACATTAATAAGGGAAATTAATCCCATCATAAAATCTACGGTGAATGGAGCTAAGTATGAAACTTCAATCACATTTGTAAGTACTTGATTAGAAACTCACATCTATGAAGGTCCTCGCGCTTGTTATTGTGTTCGAAACGTTTAGCGTAACCCTCGTTTATAGTAAAACTCACATCCTCGAGATTATCTGCTTCAAACATAACATATACTCTAGCTACTACTGAGCGAGAGAGAGAGTATGAGAGGAGTCGTCATGGTAACCAAACATTACATAACATTCACTACTATTAAGCTATTACAGTGCTAGAAGCAGCTTGTGTCGTTTTGTGTGTTGTTGAGGTTGTGTTTTAAAAGGAACCGTTTTGGTGTTTTTTTTGCGGTGATTTTGGTGCTGAGCATGTATGTGAGTAGTTTTGGTTGCTAGGAGACTAGTTTGGTCACAGTTGGTGAGATTGTAAGACTAATTTGTAATTAATTGTGGTTCCTCCTCTCCGGCTACTATTTATAATAAGAGTTGTTGTGTTGCCCTGGAAACGATTTACGTCATGCAGATCATAGCAAAACACAGAGGCTTCCAGTACTTAACACATAATCTGTGCCAACAAAACCGATGGCCACCATTTCCGGCTCTCAGCCAATATTAAGGGTCGAATTAAGGGCCAGACTTTAGCGAACCTGGACCACGTGGCAGGCAGAGGACCTGAAACACGGGGGATGAATGATTAAGCTATTATTAAGTACACTTTCAAGGTTACCATATCATTCGTTATGTTGTGAGATCACCCCACCTGGCGACTGTCCGTCCTTGTTTACCTATAATAGGTTACCATGGTTACCAAGACATTAGGTTCGGGTTGCTAATGCAACAAACGAGGTATTATATATAAAGAGCTCTTTAGTAGAGTGGTCACTGGATCCGTGTTCAGTACATCTTATTGTTCAGGGTTTGATACGTGGCGATTGTAGGGGAGGGGGGAGGGTCCTGGCCTCTAGATTTGGTAGTTTTGATATAGCGCGGACCCCGAAAGTACCGTTTAAGTTTGTCATGTCTTTGAGCTGCATGCTTTACAGGTGTCTTACTGGAGGAGCTGTAAATGTTTATTATCAGCCTTCCTCCCAGCCTTCCTGTAGACTTATGATATGTGCAAGACCGGGTGCTAGTTTCTGTACAATTACTGATAGTTACTAGTAGCATTACCTATCTAGTATCTGTACAATTAATGATAGTCACTAGTAACATTACCTATCAACGGTAGTCTGCGGAATAGGGTTCCTTAGTGTTCTTAGCATTATAATAACCGATCTACTGTATTATAAGCGGGACGTTTTATGTACAATAGTTTTATAAAGCTTTCATTTGCCTCTTTGTAATAGTTATAAATCGTGTTGTAATAGTAGTAAATTAAGAGGGTATCTATTGTACTGGAACCAAAGGTTATACCAAATTAGTGCATTTGTTGCTCAAGTTTTAATGGTGAATCTTGGTCAACATGCTAAAGTATTTCTGAAATCATCCGCCCGTTTTGGCACACCAGTTTAAGCCAAAGCAAATGTATTTCATTACAAGCCTTGGCGAGATTTTATTTTACTGCGGTCTAGGCTTTTCGAAGGAACGGCTGAATACATGATTTCACGATGTACTTGGAGAGGTTTGTAAGTTATTATAATTTCTGAAGGAGCCAATCAGGTGTCAACAAATCTTTTGAAAATGTACGAATCAATTGCCTCTAACACAGGATTTTCTGATTCCGACTCAGAATGAAACAAATTTTCTATCAACATTGTTACATTGAAGTACGTTTGAAGTGCCACTGTCTACTAGTTGGAATTCTTGAAATTCTTCCACGTACTACTATTACAATGTAGCTTAATCTAAGCTTGCCAGGTCCACTTGCATGCTGACATAAATGCAACGTGTTACCATGGCAACCGGAGCATAACAACATGCCGTTTAAGAGAATATTACTTTGTCTCTGTGACTTTTCGATGCGATGCTTTATTTTGTTAGCGAATGTCGGGCATGAAATTGAATGCTTTGAAATGGACGGGGCACAGGAAAAGTGGCCTCCAGCCTATTTGAACTTAACTTAATTCCTTAATTTTATCAACTTTATGATTTACGACGCGACATCCTGGCCTGTACAATCTCTCTACTTTCAAGGAGATTACCATTTAGTTCTGTTAAATCAATTAGACGAATGAAGATCCATGGTAACATGGTATCAACAGTGTGGTCACTGATTTCACTGGTTGTATGGTTGTACAATAAAGAAGTATATAATCCGTGAGCAAAGCTGCATAATATGTTAGTTGTTACCAAGGGTTGTCATGGCAACACCTCATATCAAACGTATTGATGTAGAGCGTGAGTCACTGAGTATCGTATATCAGTATGGTTGTTTCGCATGCAATTTGTGCACTTAAACATTCTGCGGACGTTCCCACTAAAAATACTTCAGTTACTGTAATAAGTTCCACAATGTGATGTTAGTAATAACTAATATGAAGCTTAAGTGTTGTTTGTTCATTTATTGAAGATGATTTAATCTGCAATCTTGTTATTTGTCATTGAATTATTTAAAACTACTAAGAAATCAGTTAAATTGGTATTGCCTTTGTAATTAGTAAACTAATCTCACTTCTCTCAGAATGATCAAAAGGTAGCGTCCTTTAACTTGGGTAAAAGCAACATGGGGACTTGTGGAAGCAAAGAGGTGATCCACGTAGACCCACAGGCCCTTAAATCAGACCACAACTCAAAACCCACGACTCCAACTAAACCAGCCAAAACAGAATCTCCCGCCAAGCCAGCGAGAGTAGTCGCGGACAATGGCCATGTTAACTCAGACTCAGACTCAGATGGGAAAGCGGTTGAGAAAAAACCCAAAAAGAAGTCTGGCAAAGCAAAATCGAAGAAGAAGAAGGTAAAGAAGAAGAAGAAGAAGCGAGAGAAGAACAGCGATGGTATTTCAGTTTCAATCGAGTTCAGTGATTGGAGTATGGAGAGTTGTTCCAGTAATGATCCAGACGTCATAGTGGTTCAGCAGGTGATCCATCATCATCATCATGACCATGATCAGCCTGACCAAGATGTTAACATAACTATTAATCAAGGAGATACCATTATTGTGGCGCCAGGTGATGCACCACCAAGTGATGTGGCATCAGCACCACCTGCAGAAGATGGTGTATCTGTGGAACCTGCAGAGGGAGACGCAGTTATAGAGGACGTTGAAGCAGACGGAGATGCACTAGCAGACGATGTAGCTGTCGAGGCTGCTCCAGCTGGAGCAGAAGGTGAAGATGCCGAGGCTCCGGTTGAAGCGGCCCCTGCTGAAGGTGAAGCAGCTGAAGGTGAAGCAGTTGAGGGAGAGCCTGCAGAGGGAGAGCCAGTGGAGGTTCCATCAGAAGATGCTCCAGCAGCTGAAGGTGAGGAGGCAGTGGAAGCAGCCCCAGCTGAAGTTGGAGAAGGTGTTGAACCTGAGGCAGACACTGAAGCGGAAGCAGACGCTGAAGCGGAAGCAGAACCCGAAGGTGAAGCAGAACCCGAAGCAGAAGCTGAAGCTGAAGCAGAGGCAGAAGCAGAACCGGAAGCAGAAGCAGAAGAAGCAGCCGAACCGGAAGCAGAAGAAGAAGCCGAACCGGAAGCAGAAGAAGAAGCCGAACCGGAAGTAGAAGAGGAAGCCGTAGAGGAACCGGAGGTTGAAGAAGAAGCCGAAGTAGAAGAGGAAGCCGAAGAGGAACCGGAGGCTGAGGAAGAGCCAGAAGAAGAACCTGAGGAGGAGCCAGAAGAAGAACCTGAGGAGGAGCCAGAAGAAGAACCAGAAGAAGAGCCAGAAGAAGAAGAATAGATTGAAAATATTCTTGGTTAACGGCTCCGATTTCAAGAGCCATCCCCAAGAGTCAAAAGAGCTTAAATTACCTTGAATGGTTGAAGAATAAAGGCGAGAGTCTGAATTTCAGTTTGCTATCAGTATCAGTTAACTACTGATAAACTCTACGTAGAAATGAGAAAAGTGTCTGTATTAGTGCAATACTTACGATTATAGACGCATTCACGATTGAAACTATTTTAACATATCATATTTACATGGCAAGTTCCAATGTATCTTGACAAAGTTTTTTTAGTGACATAAGCGTAAATGTTGATTATTTTAATTAATCTGTATATTTTGATAGAGTTACTGGTTCAGGGACACAAAGCGATAATCTGCTTGCGAAGAGAATTTAAAATTAAACTTTTATTTAATTCTTCTTAAAACTTTGATAGCCAATATTCACAAATAAACTCGCTATGGCAAAGAACATAGTACGGCAGTTTTTAAATCAAATAATATAGATATCCATAAAAAAGTTGAGAAATCAAGATTGACAAGCATAGAGCACTGCCGGTGTCCTGTTGAAGAGTATTGTGCAATGTGCACTGATATATATCGGACTTCAAAACGTCATAATGTTCAGTATTTGCAGTCGGCTCACACACTTGTAGATTTTTATTACATTTTCGTTGTATTATTTTGTCATCATGGCTGGTAGTGACACAGAAAGTCGCGCTGAGAGCTCTAAAAAACGTAGCCCCACGACTAAAAGGAAGCAGAAAGCAAAGCTTTACTCCTTCAATGTGAGTATGGTTATGAGCGATCCCTGTGATGCAAATTAGTATAATTTTATCTTCGAAATTGTGGTCAAACATTTGTGAAAATCATGTACAACCGCTGCATCACTGCTTGCAATCGAATGAGTAGAAACAGCACTCCTAACCAACTTGGATGCCTTTTTCTATGTTAATTGACGAGTTTATTCCGTCAGTTTAAGCTAAAACAGTCAACGCAATTTGTCTAGCTTAAACATTTGTTTGAAAGCTTTTCGTTCGTTGAAGATTTAATCTGGACACCAACAAAAATCTGAACGTTCAAAACGGTTTAATATTTTGTCATGTAGTACTAATATGCGTTTTTGTCAAAATCATCAGTGCTTGTATTAACTTATTAAGATGGTGCTGAATGTTGTCCACTATACTATTCTGAATAAAAAACATTTTCTGCACGTTCGAACAGAGTTAGTTTCGTTAGATTTGTTGGAAATAGGAAAGTTTTGGCATAATTTAACGTGATAAGTGAATCTCTAAGTGCTCAAAAGATGATAAAGCTTCCGGAAATTAAGGAATTAGGACTCCGTACGAAGGAACAGTTTTTTTCAAAGAAAGTTCAAGTTCGTTTATATTCTAATTTATCATCTTCACACATGTTCAAGTTCAAGTTCGTTTATATTCTAATTTATTATCTTCACACACATGTTTTTTTCTTTCCTCCACATTCACACAGTACAGGACAAAGAACCTAAATGTGACAAATGTGCAAAAATCTCGTTAAATGTTGATAGCTCCCATATTATTTTAATAGAATAAACACTGTGCTGACTTTTAGTCCCTCCCAGAGAGCCCTGAGGAACAACAATTTGCTGAACGAGGAACTGAAACACTCCCATGCTACTTTAGAAAAGAGGAAGGAAAGAAGGAACCAGATCACTAACCATGTTAAGGTAGGATACAATCAGGAAGTGACATCAAACTAACCATGTTAAGGTAGGATACAACCAGGAAGTGACATCAAACTAACCATGTTAAGGTAGGATACAATCAGGAAGTGACATCAAACTAACCATGTTAAGGTAGGATACAATCAGGAAGTGACATCAAACTAACCATGTTAAGGTAGGATACAATCAGGAAGTGACATCAAACTGATTTTTGCACCTATGATTCACCTTTCTATTTTGTTATTTCATATTGTATCAATTAAGAGTTAAGCCTCCGCGAGACGCACATGTTAATATTTTTACTTTTCAGACTAGTGACTACATAGTACATTATTAATTATCCCAGAATATAAGTCACTACAACACGTGTGTAATACCCCATAAATAACACGTGTGTAATACCCCACAAATAACACGTGTGTAATACCCCACAAATAACACGTGTGTAATACCCCACAAATAACACGTGTGTAATACCCCACAAATAACACGTGTGTAATACCCCACAAATAACACGTGTGTAATACCCCACAAATAACACGTGCGTAATACCCCACAAATAACACGTACATGTAATACCCCACAAATAACACGTGTGTAATACCCTACAAATAACACGTGTGTAATACCCCACAAATAACACGTGTGTAATACCCCATAAATAACACGTGTGTAATACCCAACAAATAACACGTGTGTAATTTACATGTAATACCCCACAAATAACACGTGTGTAATACCCCACAAATAACACGTGCGTAATACCCCACAAACAACACGTGTGTAATACCCCACACATAACACGTGTGTAATACCCCACAAATAACACGTGTGTAATACCCCACAAATAACACGTGCGTAATACCCCACAAATAACACGTGTGTAATACCCCACAAATAACACGTGTGTAATACCCCACAAATAACACGTGTGTAATACCCTACAAATAACACGTGTGTAATACCCCACAAATAACACGTGCGTAATACCCCACAAATAACACGTGTGTAATACCCCACAAATAACACGTGTGTAATTTACATGTAATACCCCACAAATAACACGTGTGAAATACCCCAGAAAGTGGTTTCCATGAGCACGAAGCACGTGACCAGTACAAACAGCTGGATGAGCAACCACCTGAACAGGTGCTTGTTAGTACTGGAGAGAGGGAGACACATGCAGGTCACCAAACCTTACTATCACGCCCCTGGTCAGTATGCAGGATTACTTGAGTTTATTTAGATTGCACCATTACCACGCCCCTGGTCAGTATGCAGGATTACTTGAGTTTATTTAGATTGCACCATTACCACGCCCCTGGTCAGTGTGCAGGATTACATGAGTTTATTTAGATTGCACCATTACCACGCCCCTGGTCAGTATGCAGGATTACATGAGTTTATTTAGATTGCACCATTACCACGCCCCTGGTCAGTGTGCAGGATTACATGAGTTTATTTAGATTGCACCATTACCACGCCCCTGGTCAGTATGCAGGATTACATGAGTTTATTTAGATTGCACCATTACCACGCCCCTGGTCAGTGTGCAGGATTACATGAGTTTATTTAGATTGCACCATTACCAAGCCCCTGGTCAGTATTATTATTATATTTATTATATTAATAAACATGAGTTTATTTAGATTGCACCATTACCATTTACCATCAGTCTCTCAAAAAGAGATCCCATTTGAATATCACAGTTTGTAATACATTTCTGATGTAACCTTGAAGATATTGCCCGTCGAGGTGCACATCTTTTGAAACAGTGGATATTATAGCGGAGCATTCCAGGTAAGCCTCTGACACCGTATCACACGAAGAGGGAACGACAGAGATTAGCAGAAGAGGAGGTAAATTCTAAAAACATTAAGGAACAATCTGGAATATTCTTACGTTTTAGAGAACCAAAACGATTCTCAGCGGGGAGAGATAACTGTCATGTGATTGAGTTGAATAAACAGTTGAAGTTCAAGGCTGAGAAATGATTTATAATGTTATTATGAAGGAGTAAAGCTTTGCTTTCTGCTTATAATGTTGTCATATGATGGCATTGGCGTGGATATTGATTCAGAGCTTATGAATAGAACAGTTTGGACTCCAGGATGACCCATTTCAAACTAGATGTCAGAGTCACATCGTGCTTGACTGGACATATTTAATTTTAGTTCAGCTTGGAGTCACTATTCGGGATTGAAGTCAATTTAGCAAGTACTTCAAAAAGCTCCCTGGCCCTATTCAATCGTAGCTCTATTGTCAAGTATATAATTGCAATGTTATCATATCTATATAAACATCTGAAAGTGTCTGAAAGTTTACTTCTGAAATGAAGTTAACGTGTACAGTTGTGTGTCAATAATTCGTGTTCGGACGGAATTAATTGTTAATGGAGAATGGAGATGAGTGGGTGAACAATGGCACGTGATGTCAATTTGTGTTATATCCATTCAATAGTAAAGCTAAGGAGTAAAATTAAACATTCAAAATAAATCAGTCAAAATGAATACGAATACCAAAATCAGCAACACTCAAAACGTAGGTCATATCAATTAAATACAGTAGTTTGCTTTTGAGGGCATTACATCACAATAATTTTCGTGAATTTCAATTTCCAATTGAAGCGAAATTCATAATTCTTTCAAAGATACTATACAACTTATGCTATATAACTCGCGTATCAAAACTGTGAAATACATTTAAGTTTTAGCTTAAGTCCCAAATATTAATCATTTTGTAAGATTGCAATTGCAAACTGCACTGTCAGCTCCAATTTATAAAATAGAGTCCTTGCTATTTAAACTGAAAATTGTTCTGCACTTACCTCTCCGGAAATCAGACTTTTCACCTTCTTTTTCCTTTATATTTCTGTTTTCTTTTAACTTTCTGTCCATCTGTTTTATCAAACTTTACTGAGCACAAATTCTGAGTTCCTCCCCCAGCTGTTTCCCCTTCTCCCCTCCCATATCACAGTACTTCAGGGCTAGTTCCACGTTGTTCAGGGACACCATGTACTTAGCATACTCTACAAATACCCTGTCTTTAATGTCAGAGCCGGTGTCCGGCCACTTTCCTGCTTCTATACACGACTCCACTAGTGGAGCTGCGATCTGAGGAAGGGTATGTGGTAAAAAAAAGAAAAAAAAGTAAGATACTCAACATATTGGCTGCAGAGTTCACTCTACCCTCAAATAAGAACTACAGTCAGAGTAGCCTTGTTGAAAATGCAATTTGTAGTTATCAAAACAGCAAGGTTGGCTAATAAGTTTGATTTATAGCAACTGTTAAAGATACTAACAGTGACAAGTTTGGTAGCAAGAAGAATCTCGGCTGCTTTATCGAAATAGTGAAGTGATATAGCCAGCAGTATACCCAGATGTCTGGATCCGTTGTTGACCAGCAGGTCTATGTAGTACTTCATTACCTGGCGGTTATACGTTTTGGTTACCTGGTTACCTGGTTACCTGGTTACCTGGTTACCTGGCGGTTATATTTTAGCTCTCATAATAGTTAATGATAGTTAATAGTACTATGTTTACAGTATGCACGGAAGAGTGAAGGGGTATCCTAGGAGGTTTTTTGAACTTTTAACTCATTTAACCCTCAATTAAGTTTCCTATCAGTCGACCGAGGAGATCGCATAGATCCAATGGATCCTTAGCTACTCCCTAGACTAGGGGACACTCTCTTAGCAAGCTACCTATTGTTCTGTTGTAACAGTTACACTGCATATTTCAGGCACGTGTACAAGTAGTACTCCACTACATTATATAGTTGATTAAAACGTCTAAATTATTGAGTTTCAAAATTTATGGAGGGTAGGGGTGTTTAAAATGGAAAAAGTTTGGCTCACGTAATACGTATACGGTACGATACTAAAATACCGGTAGGCGCCAGGCGGTTAAAAGTGGTAGTTTTTACCTCGAAATACTCATCTCTGCTCAGAGCTACTTTAGCGAGCCATATAGCCTCGTTGTAGTGATGGAAGTTCTGCATATACCTGGCAACATTTAAACACGGTTTAATATTTTGGGGCTTATAGTGCGTAATTCTATATTATATATGTTGTTAACAAATTATAAAATGTTGTTAATAAATTTAACTTTATACATGTTTTTAATTGGAAATAACATACTTGAAGCGGAGTGTCGGATTGCTTAATAAGCAGTTCCAAGATATACAAAGTGTAAAGTGTAAACTTACATGTTAGATTAATAACGATGCTTATATCCCGGTTAAAACTAAGTTGTCTACTTTTGCACTCTAAGATCTTTATACTTGCTAAAACGGTTACCGTCATTGCTAACATTTGAAATACGTACCTGCAAGCGTCGACAGCTTTCTTGATAAGACATAGCAGCTGGCATCCCTCGAGCAGGTGATCGTTTGCTATCAGGTTTGTAGCCACTAGTTTTATTGTACTTTGTGCCACCTGCGGTGTGGAGTGAATATGATGAAAATAAAGTCTTGACTTATTTTAGAGCTTAGATTTCAGAGTAGGGCTGACTGAATCTTTCGTGCCTTCGAGAGAATAATGGAGGGTATGGGAAACTTCAGGCTCACTTCGGTGTACACTCCTAAATCCTAATATATTTACCGCACATTTATTAAGATAATAAAGTATGTATAGTCATGCAACCCAGAAACTTCACAACTATAACAATGAGGAATGAGGATGGGAATGGAACATATTCAATGGGAGATGCGATTCCAAAACTTTTGACATATTAAGATTCCGAAGAAAATGGAGAAGAAAAAGAGAATTGTAAATGGTTCATAGTATGGTTCATGTCCAAATGGAAGAGTGGCATTCCTAAGATTTCAGGGAAATTGAAATCCATGTCCAAGAACATAAGACAAGGTCAAGGATCAATATCGAATGGAACCAGCCAAGTTTATGTAAGTACAATAAATGACAGATAAATGAGAAATAATGTGTCAAAATGCTAGAAACGTACCCATTCACATAATCAAAGTCGCATCACACGCTTATAAATAAAATGGGGTGAATCTACTGTGCATACGAATCACGGAAAGCGACATCAAATCATAACTTTAAAATCTCATCACGCAAACTGAGATCAAATCACGCAATAATCTACGGTCTCATCACTTAAAGAGTGTCACACGTGTTATTCTCACTCGCTCAAGAGGCTGCTGGGGACCGCTACTCAGCTTGCTGCTCAAGTAGGTCGTGTCACTGTCCACCGTGTACTGAATGTAGTGTCAGAAATATAATAGCAACAACGAGCTTCACACAGTGAACTAATGTAGAAACTACATGGTCACATCGCTGGTAGCGAGGGTAGCCGATAATATGGTGTGAGTGGATAGGTCATCAAAACTCAAGTATAAAGATGACTCCTATCTGTTTTAAACGAGATCTATAAAAATAAAATGAACGAACCTCGCTGTCAGATACGCTGGAAATAAGAGAAGCTCTCAAACAATCCTGATAGAAGTTAGGAGAGTCCTGCTCAACTTCAAGTAACAACTGCACTGGTTTATCCGTGTTTCCTGAATTCGAGAAGTAGGGGTGTGGTCAACTTGGTCCCTACTTAGGGGGGGAGGGGGCTCATGTTTTCTTTGTCCGTTTTTGTCCGCCCTATTTTTTGTCCGTCTTGAAAATATAGGGTACCGCACGGACAAAACCGTACAAAAAAACAGGACCCCCCCCCCCCAAATAATGTACCTAACAGTAATGTGCCTAACAGTAATGTGCCTAACAGTAATGTTCCTAACAGAATGTACCTAACAGAATGTACCTAACAGAATGTACCTAACAGAATGTACCTAACAGAATGTACCTAACAGAATGTACCTAACAGAATGTACCTAACAGAATGTACCTAACAGAATGTACCTAACAGAATGTACCTAACAGAATGTACCTAACAGAATGTACCTAACAGAATGTACCTAACAGAATGTACCTAACAGAATGTACCTAACAGAATGTACCTAACAGAATGTACCTAACAGAATGTACCTAACAGAATGTACCTAACAGAATGTACCTAACAGAATGTACCTAACAGAATGTACCTAACAGAATGTACCTAACAGAATGTACCTAACAGAATGTACCTAACAGAATGTGCCGATGAATAGAGTGCTGCCTGTGAGAGTAAGTGCTCCCCCCCCCCCCCCCCCCCCCCCCCCCCCCCAGTAACGTACCTAACAGAATGTGCCGATGAATAGAGTGCTGCCTGTGAGAGTAAGTGCCCCCCCCCCCCCCCCCCCCCCCCCCCCCAGTAATGTACCTAACAGAATGTGCCGATGAATAGAGTGCTGCCTGTGAGAGTAAGTGCTCCGACACTTCTCCTGAACTGCCAGGCTCTTAGTCTGAAACGAAAAGGTGTGATCAACATGCCGCGAGGTCTAAGATATCACAGATCAGGGTAAATGGGTAATTCTTGACATCTAGAGGAGGTCTTAAAAACAAACCTGATCTTTGAGATAGCTCTGGTTATCCTGGACTATATCGAAAGCTGATGAGAGAGGCGAGCTCTGATCAAGATAGTATGCTAGAACTTGCCACAGTCTCCATTCTACCATGTCTCCGTACAGTGCTGAGTGGAATTCAAGTAATTATTGAATAATTAAGAGTGATTGTTATTTGTGAAAACTGCTCAGTTTCTTGATAACAGAGATTCATTTTGAATAGTTTGAAAGAAGCCCTGGTGCCAGAAACGAATCTTAATTTAGATCAGATCACAATTCAATACAAAACCTTGATAAAACATTTGAAAGCAGTCAAGAAAGTAACGGACCTGCAGTGACGAGACAGCGCTCCAGAAAAGAGAGGGTTGAGAACTTGTCTCTCAGTTTGAGGGTGTGCAACATTGAGTCCCAAATTATCGGAGTGCAGGATGCTGGACATTTCATATCCCAGTTCTCTTGCCAACCCTGATTGTATTCAATATCAATCAAATTTACAGAGTCCAAATTTGAACCTTGTAGACGACCAAATGAAAGGTTGCGATCATTGACAAGAATTGTCAATAGTGTGAGAAAGTGAGAACTCACCATATGTTGAATGTATATCTTAAAGTTCATCATTTCTTTCTGATTATAGATGAATGGTAACCTGCAGAAATCGAGACACGTTAACTTCCCTAAACTTATTATCAACACAATGTGTAAAAGTTTCAAATCAAATCGTATGTGCAGCATCAGTCTTACTTTACATTGAAACTAAAATCATCTAAGCTGAACAAAGTTTATTTAATCGCCTGACGGCTGACTAACCAAATGGGGGTATGAAGAGACAAAGCAGTGACAGGGTTGGGTGCAGTGTCCAGGTTAACATCCATGATGTGCACAGCACCCGAATCGTTAACAATAATCGGTCTATCACTTGCTCCCCAGTCAACGTCAACAACCTCCCCAATCTTAGAGGACTTGATAGACGACAGGACCTGGGGAATGTATGGGGCATATTTGTTATCGGATTGGGTGGTACACTAACTCTGACAAAAGCAACTAATCATAAATATTGGATAATGTACAGTTCGTGAGGTTCGCGCTCATAAATCACATCGCACGTGGCAACATGATAATAAAACCTGAAATAGCGCGTCGTATGCTCACGTTTTCAACTGCTGAAAAACTGCAATTATGAAAAGAATTGTTTTAGCGCCTTCCAAAGTCGTCATCTCTTGCGCGTGACGGAGCGAACCTTGTGTTTTACACAACATTTCCACCATACTGCAATGCAATTTGTATGCAGACATAACATACGTAAACATAGAGTATATAACCGAAGTGTTCACCTCACAAAAACCCACCTCACTTTCAGCACAGTCCCATATCTCCACTCCATCATTAAACAAGACTAGCAGGAGCTGAGTGTTTCTTCCCGGAGCTAGCAAGAGTTTCTTTATCGCTCCTCGACTTGTGGGAACTAGTCTTGATTGTCTGGAAAACAGTGATCTTTGATAAGTGCGCACTTTTACTGGATTTAATTAAGGAAAACAAAATCTTAGTTGTGAAAATCTCCTCAAAATATTGATCCACAAATACGTTTCATGAGATAAACAACAGTATGAAATTCGATTCTTATTTTAACAGATAATTTCACACACTTCCAAACTAACCTTGCCTTCAGGTCCCAGAAACTCAGATGTCCAGTAGAGTCACCCAACACCATTAAATCACCTCTCCAAGCTATACTGTTGATCAACCCAGTCTGAGAGTCAGGTGGTATGCGTGTACCTTCTTTTATCACGGTACCTAAATAAACATGTAACAAACATCTGGTTTGATAACCGCTTATTAATACGTGTACCTTCTTTTATCACGGTACCTAAATAAACATGTAACAAACATTGCGTTTTATAACCGCTTATTAATACGTGTACCTTCTTTTATCACGGTACCTAAATAAACATGTAACAAACATCTCGTTTTATAACCGCTTATTAATACGTCTACCTTCTTTTATCACGGTACCTAAATAAACATATAATAAACATCTGGTTTTATAACCGCTTATTAATACGTGTACCTTCTTTTATCACGGTACCTAAATAAACATGTAATAAACAACTGGTTTGATAACCGCTTATTAATACGTGTACCTTCTTTTATCACGGTACCTAAATAAACATGTAATAAACAAATGGTTTGATAACCGCTTATTAATACGTGTACCTTCTTTTATCACGGTACCTAAATAAACATATAATAAACATCTGGTTTGATAACCGCTTATTAATACGTGTACCTTCTTTTATCACGGTACCTAAATAAACATATAATAAACATCTGGTTTGATAACCGCTTATTTATCAAAATATTCGATATCCTCGAACCACGATAAGGAAATACCACGCAACATACCTTCCACCATGAGATGGTACACGACCCCATCAGTATCAGTGAAAACGAAGTGCTCTCTAATTGGGCCGTCAGTCGGATTCGTCACCTGTTCTATTATCCCTGCTGGCTCTTCTCCTTTTTTACTGAACTGAACATTATAGTTGGGAACTATTTTGAAACCAATCAGTTCTGTTTTATTAAATATCGAATGTTTTGATGAAGTAGCCTGGTAATAGGGCGGAGAACCAGAAAATGAGGAATACGATTTGTTTCTTGGAATAATACTAACTGGTACGTGTAAAAGGGAAATTAACTAACCTTAGCATGCTTCAGGGAGTGGTTTTGAGTGGGAGACCACTCCAAAGTGGTGACTGGCGGGAAATTTCCCGGCATTTCCCGAATGATGTTAAGACTCTTTAGGTCCCAAAGTTCGAAAGGTCGGTCTTTCAGTAAAACGATGAAATACTGAAGTGAGAAGCGAATGTTTTAATCGATCTAATGGAAACCAATCTTTTAATTTAAGGTGTAACGTAGCCTACACTACAGACTACAGAGGCAACATATAGGTGCGGTAACATTTTGCAAATAGTGCGATCCTGCACCTGCCCAAAACTGTTTTATGTGCTGCAAATGTGGAGGGAAAAAAACACTGCAATTTAGCTGAAGAGTTCGCCAAATTTGCAGCCTTTAGGTTATCTCAGGTTGGATTATTCAACAGGGTAGTATATATATATACACTACCCTGTTGAATAATACAACCTATATTATATAGCGTTGCATTACACGGTTGTTTAGTTGGGTTAGTTTAACACATCAAATCAATTACAAGGCTAATGTAGTACACCGAGTTTCCTGACAATTCAAGACATAAAATTCTAGAATGACCCTCATAACCCTCTACTCATAGAAACTTTTACAATTAGATAGGTACTGGGCAGGATGACTGGCGATGAGCTTAATTGAGGCAAGGTATTCAATATTGTAATGATACACCATTAGATTCCAATTTCCAACATCATGAGTGTACATGAAATATTCAATAGAGTAGTATATAACGTTTAATAGAGTCGAACCTCATGTAATACAATAATACCTTGGCTGTTGAGTGCTACGGGCGAGTCCGGGACGATACTAAGTCAAGGTATTATTCGTTATAATATTTTCCGGGAATTATTTCCCCGAAAAGTCGTGGACACTGGTAACCGATCATTTTCCGGAAGGGTTGCCAGAGTATTATGAGGACAGACTGCCACTGGCCAGTCACCTCAGACTGGCTGATGGGAAGTTTCAAAACAAATAACAGTGGCGCACTTGAGGTAAATTATCAGTGCTCAGTGAAATAATTCTCGGAAATAATTATAAGCTAAAATGTTTGCGAATTATATTATCATAGGGTAAATTAATCAAGCGATTCAATTTCAATCTGTTGAGGGATAGCGATCCAGTTTGAGTTATTCATTGGCTTAGATTCACCTCCCTTTGTGTTGATGGTGCGGAAAAGTGCGGTATTAGGTCAATGGTGCGATTCCACACCCACCGCACTAGTATACGCACGTTTCCCCTGCTAAGTCTATGATTTCTTTGATCATGCAAATGTGAAAGTAGCAAATCTTTCAAAGTACGAAATATCTCTTTAAAAGAGCATCCTAGGCACCTTATAGATATCAAAACGCATAAAAAAGAAAACAAAAACATCAACCATCTTCTAACTTCTTCCACTCCTCCCTATCTAAAGCTAAAAATCTAAGGTCTTCGAAATCAGTCAAATTCTTAAGTCTAATATCAAGATTTCTACTAGTCAAGTCTTTTCTAATAACATCTAATAAGTTTAAACATGGTCTACCCCGTCTCCCTTCCATAAAAATATCAGAATTTATAGCAAATAACATAGAGGTGTATGCTGGTGAGTCTTCCTGTCCTCTTAAGATATGTCCTAACATTCTCCATCGAAACTTAGAGACTCTCACAGACAAGGGAGTGACATAACAACGAGCATAGAGTGCCTCATTAGAAATAACCCCAGTAGGCCATCTGATGTTGAGGATTCTTCGGAGGTGTTTGCGATGAGCAATATCAAGTTCATTCAACGAAGCTAGTGGTGCAGCCCAGGAGTTGCAGTTGTAGAGTAGAATAGAGACTACTTGTGCCTCGTAGATTTTGATCTTCCTTTGGACTGAAATCTTGCTCTTCATCCAAACTTTCTGAAATTTACTAAAGGCAACATTACCAAGGAATATTCGATTCTTGATATCCTTAACAGTGCACATCAACGATCCTAAAGTTTTGTTAGAGCGCCACTCTTCATCACCTCTATACACTTTTCCAACAATCACCTTGCGTTTAACAGTGGGTTTAGGATCTGCTAAATAAAAATGGACAAATTCAGTCTTGGAAGAATTGATATGAAGGTCCCACTGCTGGAATATATCTTTAGCGATAGGAAGCATTTCTTTGAGTGGAGCAAGTTCAGTGTTATTAAAGTCAATATCATCAGAGTATCCTGTTTCGAGTGGCATGAATTCTTCTGAGATAGGAGGATTAGGGATTGGATGATTCACTGGGTAAGGTGTTGATGATACTTGGGAGAGTACAGATCTGAGGTGAATAAGTGCAGCGGCTTCAACAACTGTAAATAGATTACCTGATAGTGCATCTCCTTGAAATGCTCCAGTTGTGCTATGGAACTCAATTGATACAGTATTATTGACTTTTACTTTCAACACTGTGTTTGATAGTAGGAGCCGTACCATCCTAATTTCATCACTAGTACAGCCAGCATCTTCAAGAACATTGAGTACTGTTTCTCTGCTGATGGTGTCAAAGGCACTTGACATGTCTATACTCATTCTGTGGTAGCTCCAATGCTTTCTAAGTACCACTGAGGTTAGCATACGTTGAGACCAAATTATATCGCCACAACTTCTACCTCTCTTGTAAGCACTTTGTGTAGGACAGGTGTACTGATCTAGCTTGCCTTGGATACGTTTTAGGGTAATCATTGACAGTAATTTTCTGGAGCAGTTTGAGAGGGTGAGAGGTCTGATGTTTGCTGCTGGACCAAGTGGTTTCTTAGGCTTTTGGAGTGGAGTAATGTTGCCTTTTCCAATAGATGTTATGGTGGTGTTTGTTTCAAATGCGGTATTTATACAGTCTGCATATTTCTGAAATACACTTCTGTTTGCATACTTAATCAATTCACTTGGGATATCATCAGGCCCAGTGGCTCTACCATTCTTCAAAGCTTTAGCAGCTATCTCAACTTCAATAGCAGTAATAGGGTCAGCGAGAGGACTAGGTTGATCAAAGAAAGTGTCAATAGGCTCAACTGTATGTTTTGCAGTGAACTTCTCTTCAAAGTGGTTCTTTAGTGTAGCAGCTTTTCCAGTGTCTGTACCTATGAAGTTAGAGTTATCATCATGCACACTTATGGTTGGAGCACGTTTGATACCTGCTAGTTGGCGAGTGGCTGCAAAGTATGCTCTAGAACTATCAGTTTCGTTTATCTCTTCAGCAAGAGTGTCTGCATGCTCTTCTTGAAGGAGCTTGATTCTCTTACGAGTGTCATTTTGAATACGATTGATTTTGGCAAATGTGAAAACAGTAAAAAAAACATCAGGGTCTCACAAAAGCAGGCAAATTAGAATTATAAGAAATAATTATTTAAATTTAATTTCTAATAATAATTATTAGAAAAATAACCTGATGAAGATAAGATACTTTGATCCCGACAATAGGAACATCGTCCCTATCTTTAGTTGTGGTCCTCAGAAGCTGGTACCGTCCCGTGTTGATGTCCGTGTAGTACAGCTCGTTCTTTATTGGCCCTGGAATAAGTCACTTGTCAGACTCAAGGATCACTGTTTGTTGGACGTTTTATAAATTGATAATTTAGCTCCGGGAGTCCGGGTGAGAATATTGACGTGGTGAATCTAATGGAATTTATATACGACTTTTCAAATTTTAACATCCAGCATCCGTAAAACCATGACTCCTCTGTTACTCTGCTCTCAGGTTTATGGCTGCGTGTCACGTGACACGTGACACGTGACCCTAAACTCTCCGCTATAGTGCGGTATGCCTTGTTTTGATTGAAATTGAACTTATTTTTAGACACCATAGTATCATGGCTTCGTGTTTTGATTTGAATTAGAGACATTTGGAGACGACAAAAAATGAGAAAAAATTGAATTGCTAAAATTTCCTTTACAATGAAGAAGAATTGATTAATAAACACAAGAAATAGTATGACAAAAATAAGATGGACAGTCTTAAAAAGAAAGAGGCAAACTTTTGATACAGCTGAAAGTCTCACATTAGTCAATCTGTCTTGGACATTACTTAAGTACTATTAAAAAGTTGGTTTTATAAGATAACCCTCGCAAATACTGCAAATAATCTAGCCCACCCTCCGCAGAAGTCTAAAAATAGTTAAATATTACCATTTTGATACGAACGTATATTTTATTATAGGTCTCATGTTCTTTTCGTCTGTTCTCATGATATTAACGAAAAAACCAATAAGAGATACTGGGGAATTTGAATCCTAAGAATAACAAATTACACACTGTAGTGTATCCTAAACTTGGTTAATAGTTAATTGCTATGTATGTCCCAACCAGTGTTTGAAATGATACTGTAACTGTCCATCCATACATTTGTGTAATTATCTCGGCCTCAACACCAAGTTAAGCCAGCTTTTGCTTGACTTTCTAATCACCACTCTACCCTGAATCATAACTTTCTCTGCCTTGATGGCACTACCGTTACAGTTAGCGGCTCCATTCCCCCCATTGGTTGCACTGTAGGTTATGGGATTGATACTATCCACCTTTTGGTATGTTTTCTCCATCTTCTTTTCAAGCGAACGATCAAAATAATTTGTTACAACCTCAAACCCCAGTTCCATTAATGCGATCGCTAATACCAGGAGAAAGATTTGAAATAACATGCTTAGAAATCTTCGGCCCGCATACTTTGAGCCTGGTCCAAAAATGTGCTGTTCTCCGAATCCTATCGTTGTCATGCCATTTATGATATAGCAGTAGATCCCCTCTGTGAGACTCCAGACTCTAGAATACCCCACTTTCGTATATATATTCTTGGTATCTTCATCATCACTGTACTCATACACCATTTTAGTTGCGAGGTAACCTTGGAGGACTGTGTATACGGCTCCTAATTTGACGCAAAAGGCAGCAAACATTTTATAATTACCAAACCGCCTTCTTACAAAAGCTGAATATTTGAGTCCTCTCTCGTCAGATTTCATCAGCTTCACGATACATCCGATTAAGAAAGAGACAATCGGGATTCCGATTATTGCATAGACCAGAGTAAAAGCCTTGCACAGTATTGATTTAGGGAAACGCAAACCCCATCCTATAGTGGAAATAATGCTGTAGCTGTAAAGCATGGTATCCATAAAAGACATGTTGTTCCATCCGTACAGATCAAGTTTAGCCACTTTACATTCTAGATCCGCTCTTCTGAGGCTGCGATTGTAGAACATTGCGTGATCCTCCATCGATTTATTTACAAGATTTGATTTGTTGAATTTTCCTTGTTGGATGAATAATTCATAATTCCGGACTTTTGCGTTGTTACCTTCGATTCCAGAGAATACCAGAGTTCCAAAGAGAACGAAATAAACAACAGCTTGAAGTATACACGTAGATTTCATGAAAGAATATAAGGTAGAAGATACTTCCAGCTTCCTATTTTCTGATTCTTCTTCATTTTCTGATACTAAATACAGGGATTTTCTTTCTTCCTGAATTATTTCTTCTTCCAAAATAACTTTTTTCGGATTAGTTGACGCATGCTTTATACAGTTGAACTTTCGCATTCTTTAACTGAAGTTTGAAACTTGCTGCCACTACGTTTTAAACTCTGAAAACTGCTAACACTTTTGTGTTTTCTCAGGTAATTGGTAAACAGCTGTCACGTGACCAAACAAACTGTCACGTGACAAAACAGACTGTCACGTGACAAAACAGACGTACTATATTCCGCCAGAGCAGAGACAACATGATACTTTAAAACTACATGTAAAACCAGTACCTATTAGTCATTTTAACACTATTATATATTTAACACTGCATATAGATTATAGAATGTATATAATTAGAGTTTGCTATGTCGACAAGCTTGGTCAGGGGGGTATCCAATGGTGAAAAATGGTGAAAATGGTGCATGATTTAGATGGTGAATTGAGTTTCCAAATTATAAAATTTCACAATTTTCACAATCGGAACCCCCCCCCCCCCCCCCCCCCCGGCCCTTGGTCAAGACTGGACGAGGTTTTAAGTTCTCCTTAATAGCTACGACTTGTTTCATCTGTCAACATTGTTAGAAACCCTATAAAAACGCGGTGGGGCAAAATCACACTATTTGCCATTTGTTGTGCATGTGTGTACTGTTAGTAGTTTGCCACGCTTTTTCGCACAGTTTTGGGTGTAAAAAGCAATTCTTGATCGGTCACCACATCGTTCGTAAGATCAGATCACGAGAATCTGTTGCACAGTTGAGCACTTGATCTGCTTCAAAATATCATTAATTAAACAGCCAGAATATCGTGCAGGACTTAAAATAGTTACTGAATCACACGATTACATACTGATACATCTAGATAGTTACATCTCGCTCACAATCTACACGAGAGAAAATCAAAAAGCAGAACAATAAGAAAAATTTGACCACAGATTTAGACTAAAAGACGATGGAATTGGTACACAATACATGTCTTTGTTCAGCACACAATATGAATTCCAATCTATGTCGTAGGTATGATGATTGCCAGTCATTGCCATACAGTCACGATTATCAATTCCAAGGTCATGTTAGATCAAAAGCACGTGGGCGAATAATCGTGGTTATATTTCTATTCAAAAGATACCATTGTGTGGTCTGTATGTTAACATGGGTAATACCTTCATAACTCTGTCACACCATTACATTCCACGCAGAACTTGTGCAAGAAAAATGGCCCTGAAAGATGCAAATAACCATAAAATTACACGTAAAGCCCTAAATATATAATGTGCTAAATATACGATATATTAGCTTCCAAATGTGCGGGGTATCCGTATTTCACATGTTCGCACATATTATCATACCAAATCAGAGGATTGTTTGATAAAGCAGGGTAATAATTTGTCTGTTGTTCACTGTCGGGGACAGTTAGTGATTTATTGTGCTCGCACAAAGTCGTCCGAGGACGCGGCACCTTATTGCCGCTTGGTCAGGGGGGTATCCAATGGTGAAAAATGGTGAAAATGGTGCATGATTTAGATGGTGAATTGAGTTTCCAAATTGTAAAATTTCACAATTTTCACAATCGGAAACCCCCCGGCCCTTGGTCAAGACTGGACGAGGTTTTAAGTTCTCCTTAATAGCTACGACTTGTTTCATCTGTCAAAATTGTTAGAAACCCTATAAAAACGCGGTGGGGCAGAATCACACTATTTGCCATTTGTTGTGCATGTTTGTACTGTTAGTAGTTTGCCACGCTTTTTCGCACAGTTTTGGGTGTAAAAAGCAATTGTTGATCGGTCACCACATCGTTCGTAAGATCAGATCACGAGAATCTGTTGCACAGTTGAGCACTGCTTCAAAATATTATTAATGAAACAGCCAGAATATCGTGCAGGCCTTAAAATAGTTACTGAATCACACGATTACATACTGATACATCTAGATAGTTACATCTCGCTCACAATCTACACGAGAGAAAATCAAAAAGCAGAACAATAAGAAACATTTGACCACCGATTTAGACTAAAAGACGAGAGAATTGATACACAATACATGTCTTTGTTCAGCACACAATATGAATTCCAATCTATGTCGTAGGTATGATGATTGCCAGTCATTGCCATACAGTCACGATTATCAATTCCAAGGTCATGTTAGATCAAAAGCACGTGGGCGAATAATCGTGGTTATATTTCTATTCAAAAGATACCATTGTGTGGTCTGTATGTTAACATGGGTAATACCTTCATAACTCTGTCACACGATTACATTCCACGCAGAACTTGTGCAAGAAAAATGGCCCTGAAAGATGCAAATAACCATAAAATTACACGTAACTCCCTAAATATATAATGTGCTAAATATACGATATATTAGCTTCCAAATGTGCGGGGTATCCGTATTTCACATGTTCGCACATATTATCATACCAAATCAGAGGATTGTTTGATAAAGCAGGGTAATAATTTGTCTGTTGTTCACTGTCGGGGACAGTTAGTGATTTATTGTGCTCGCACAAAGTCGTCCGAGGACGCGGCACCTTATTGCCGCTTGGTCAGGGGGGTATCCAATGGTGAAAAATGGTGAAAATGGTGCATGATTTAGATGGTGAATTGAGTTTCCAAATTGTAAAATTTCACAATTTTCACAATCGGAAACCCCCCCCCCCCCGGCCCTTGGTCAAGACTGGACGAGGTTTTAAGTTCTCCTTAATAGCTACGACTTGTTTCATCTGTCAACATTGTTAGAAACCCTATAAAAACGCGGTGGGGCAAAATCACACTATTTGCCATTTGTTGTGCATGTTTGTACTGTTAGTAGTTTGCCACGCTTTTTCGCACAGTTTTGGGTGTAAAAAGCAATTGTTGATCGGTCACCACATCGTTCGTAAGATCAGATCACGAGAATCTGTTGCACAGTTGAGCACTGCTTCAAAATATTATTAATGAAACAGCCAGAATATCGTGCAGGCCTTAAAATAGTTACTGAATCACACGATTACATACTGATACATCTAGATAGATACATCTCGCTCACAATCTACACGAGAGAAAATCAAAAAGCAGAACAATAAGAAAAATTTGACCACAGATTTAGACTAAAAGACGAGAGAATTGATACACAATACATGTCTTTGTTCAGCACACAATATGAATTCCAATCTATGTCGTAGGTATGATGATTGCCAGTCATTGCCATACAGTCACGATTATCAATTCCAAGGTCATGTTAGATCAAAAGCACGTGGGCGAATAATCGTGGTTATATTTCTATTCAAAAGATACCATTGTGTGGTCTGTATGTTAACATGGGTAATACCTTCATAACTCTGTCACACGATTACATTCCACGCAGAACTTGTGCAAGAAAAATGGCCCTGAAAGATGCAAATAACCATAAAATTACACGTAACTCCCTAAATATATAATGTGCTAAATATACGATATATTAGCTTCCAAATGTGCGGGGTATCCGTATTTCACATGTTCGCACATATTATCATACCAAATCAGAGGATTGTTTGATAAAGCAGGGTAATCATTTGTCTGTTGTTCACTGTCGGGGACAGTTAGTGATTTCTAGTGCTTGCACAAAGTCGTATAAGGACGCGGCACCTTATTGCCGCACCTTATTGCCAAAGGGTCTAATCTTAGCAAAGCAATGAGGCACCTAGATGAGTAATTAGGCAATGAGGCAACTAGATGAGTAATTACTAATTAACTTTTGCGAGATGTGGAGTAGCTTCTTTTGTCACCACCAAATGATGCTCTATCTATGCACAATGCATTATGCACATGATGAAAGCAGGCCGAGTAGTATAATCGTAAGGAATAACTCATCTAGGTAAATTACCTTGTTCAGGTCCTGGGCAGCGCAGGTCTAAGTGAACCAATCGGCAAACTGCAACATGACCTATACTGGCAAGAAATGAGCCATTTCATGTATGATGAAGGAGCAGAGTTTGCTTAGGGGAGGTCGAATCTCATCACTCTCATCAACTCTAGCAAGTTGCTTGTAGTTGAGCAGATCCTCAAGTACCTATTTGTTGCAACAGCTTTGTCTGGTATGTAATACCCATACTTGGTGGTTTAGGAAGTATTCATTTATTGTTTTCTTGGGGAAAACACACCACACAACCCAAGTCAATTCCACAGGTACCTCTCACCTTAACTATACAACTAAGAATCAAATATGAGGAACGGCAAATTATTGATACAACTGTATTGAGTGATATTCGGTGGTAGCTATTAAAAGCAACTGTTCAAGAGTATATAATCAGAACGATCCGAGTGCAGCAAGATAATTCCGACTTTCAAATTGAACGGCTGGAAGTTGGTAAGATTTCCCGCTACCAGCTCTTTAAACTCTGCCTCTATAACTTAGTCTTCTAGACCGAGATTAAGCATATTTTCACTATTTGGCATTACCATGATTATGAGATTGAGTAACAATTTCATAATTTTCAATATCGTGCTTATGAAATTGTATGTGCTTGTGAATCATATTCGTCGGCCGCCGTTTTCATTCTCTTTTGTGTTTTTTCAATTTTTATTAGAATGTCCGTACTTTCATATTATCAGCAGGTTTGTGCAAAACCCTGGAGATAACGTAATAGCTTGACTGCCGCATATCTAAAATTATTACAATAAGATATTCAGCTACTTGGTGAGGACGGTATCGTTTGATTTCTATATTTAGAACGAATGATGTGTGTATTATTAGAATCAAAGTGATCAAATAATCGAATTATCAGTCCACTTTAGAATTTTATAAACACTCGAAAGTTTTTATTTGTCTTTTTACGTCCCATTTTCGCATACTTCGTCTTGTTAATTTTATTTTTATTTATTTTAATTTTGTATTATTTTAACAAATTGTGTTTTGTTATCTCAAACTGATTCTTCAATTCGACAAATTTCTTCAAAATATAATCGATTTAGTTACAATAGAGGTGTAAATTTGCCACATTGTAATTATCCACGCCTCTCACGGACAATCTACTTTCAATAATATAAAAACTGCAAGAAAATAAACTTTATTTGAACTTGATATGATTGAAAAGTACTAACATTAACACAAAGGGACAGGGCTATACAAGTATACAACTTACAGCGCTGTGGTAGTTAAGATTGCTCTATATTTTGCATCGTCTCTTGGCCATGCTTCCTATTTCCGCACAGAATATGATTTGCGTAAGAAATCTGGCTGCAATAATAATAGCTTGATCATTAGGCCTCTTTGGCTTATTCAGTTACTCTTCGTTAATGACTTAGCGATTATATATACTAATATACGATAATCACACACTCGTCCGTCAAGTCTGTAATTTTATTTCTTTGAAGATGATTGATGAATAGGTGCAATCGTGTCATATTATATATCGTTTGGAAGTTTATGATCCAATATGTTTCACATCGCACTTTTGAATGGTGATAATTGATATTTTTTTGTAGATTCATTCCGGTACTTCAGTTTACTTCAGTTGTGTTGACTGTTGAGTGGCTTTCATCGCTGATGACGGAAATTGAGAATATTGTGGGAAACTAATGTAAACCGCTGCACTGTTGTGTTGAGAGACTTTTCCTGTATTGGTTATTATATAATGCATTGTATTAGATTAATAGTAATATGAATATTCAGCTCTTTGGTAAAATGCCGTTTTTTTTCTGCTTCAAATCTCTGATAATGATATCAGTGTATCGGTTCCTTTATTGTCGTGGGGGCAGGCTAGGAGAAAGCATATTCGGGTACCCACTGCAATTTCCCATTGTCGTGGGGACAGGCTAGAAGAAAGCATATTCGGGTACCCACTGCAATTTCCCTCTCGGTATCGGTTGTATTTCCTATGATAGTCGATTTCATTTCGAACGTTCATGTTTATACCTACCACGTTTAATTGTACGAACCCACATTCTTAAGTGTGCATCGTTTTATACTAACAGGCACCCGCTCAGTGCTTAGTGCTTAGTGCTTAGTGCTTAGGTATACGGACTTCGTTCAACGCGGAATGGTCGGGCTTCTTTTATACTACCAACAACTGCTTTTTCCTATTTTAAATTGATTTTGATGTCTTCAGTATTTTCTAACTTTTCCCCTTGCCTTTTAATTTCATAATATCCCAAATTTGTGATTTCATGATTCTGACCATTTGAACGTTTTACTGTACTACTCATTTTTGTGGGATATATTATAATGCAGAAATAGCCTTAAATAGAATTGGTTATAATTTTTTGCTATTACCGCTGTCGAAATCTGTACGGTAAACCTGTCGGGAGCAATTTCTGAACATTTATGCCATTCTCATATCGATATTCCTTATTTAATGGCGTCGACTTTCCCTTTTTTGTTTGTCACCATACCGGAAATACCCGGATAAAATCGAGCACTTAAATCGAGCACTTAAAATCGAGCACCACCCTGTTTCGATTTTAATCGAGCATTTCCGGAATGGTCCCCATGTTCTAATATAAGAATATTGTTGTGTCCTAATAATTGAATATTAATGCTCAACTAGGGAGTGACATTAACATGTTCGGAGGACATTATTTGAGTGTCTGTGGGCTTGAGAGTTATTTTTTGTGAGACTTTAAAAAACAATTAGGCAGCATTAATGTTACCGTTTAAACTTTTTTGGAGGCGATTATTTAAATAATGACATAATGCTAGACTTGGCCCTATTCTCTACATTATTTACCTATTATTTATTTAAGGTTAAAATATTTTGTAATTGCTAGGTTTGCAGTTCTTACTCCTGTTGCTTCCTGTCCATTGCTTTCATTCATTGCTTTTTCGCCTTCGTCTTTCAGGTCGCCGTATAGTGTCTGTTTTCTACCTCAACTAGTTCTTTAAATACCATGTCTATTCAGAGATCTCATAAAAGTTCACCGTCGCAATATTAATTTACCAGCGGTGACCGGTCGCGGTGAGCTATCGCTTCCTCTAGTTCTACCGTAAGTTCTATCACCAACTGGACTGTCAAAGCGTGGAAAATTCTTATTTTCATTTTTATTATTCACTTTTTTATATTACTATACAAAAATAAATTTTCAAATCGTGTAAAGAATAACCGAAATCCTCACAACCAAGGAAGTCAAAACATAATGGAAGAAAACATTGTACTAGAAGAAGAGAAGGAAACTAGCAATAGCTCACTGCACGAGGAGTGGTTCATGATAATGCGAGAATCTTTATCGGCATATTTCTTTAATAAAACTACTTGGATTGTTCAAGCCCTAGCCATCTTCTTAATGTTCGGAGCCTTGGTGTTTTCAGGAATTGAGGGTAACAACGCTAAAGTAATCAATTATGAATTGTTCATTGAACAAGCAGAATTTAATAAATCAAATATTGCGAACAAATCAATGGAGGATTACGGACAGTTTTACAATCGCATCTTTAGAAAAGCGGACTTAGAATGTAAACTTGCTAAACTTGATTTGTATGGATGGAACAGCATGAAGTTTATGGACACTATGCTTTACAGTTTCAGTATAATATCCACCACTGGATGGGGATTACGGAAACCTACATCTATACTGTATAAGAGTTTTACCATAGTCTATGCCATGATTGGACTACCACTCGTCTCTGCCTTGATCGGGCTGGTCGTCAGGATTACGAAATCTAACAAACGAATTCGCAGAACTTCAGCTTTCGTAAAGAAGTGGTTTGGAAACTATAAGATTGTTGCTGCGCTAGCCATTAAATTGGGAGTGGTGTACATAGTCCTTCAAGGATATATTTCGACAAAAATGGTATACCAGTACAGTACTGACGATGCAACCAAGAAAAAGTATACAAAAGTGGGGTATTCTAGAGTATGGAGTCTCACAGAGGGGATCTACTGCTATATCATAAATGGCATGACAACGATCGGATTCGGAGAACAGCACATTTTTGGACCAGGCTATGAAAATCCGGGCCCAAGATTTTTAAGCATGTTGTTTCAAATGCTTCTCTTGATTGTAGCTGTAGCATTAATGGAACTGGGCTTTGAGGCTATGAGGAAGTACTTTGATCGTTCACTGGAAAAGAAGATCCAGGAGAAAACATACCAAACGGTGAAATGTGACACTCATGTAACGTACACTTCCAGTTATAGTATCAGACGGAAAGGACCTAGAAACGGTAATGGAAGTACGGAACAAGAAACTCCTGCGATAATTGCAGAGTAATGGTTTTTAGAAATACTTTGGTACAATTGTTATTGTTGTTTGATAATATTTGGTTTGATTGAGGACATGAATGAGCAGATGTGCGGCAATAAGTAATATTCTGTTAATTTTGACGGTCACACGTAATAAGATAAAAAAGCAAAAGAAGAGCACCGCCGGTCATTAATTATTGAACATTAATTTTATCTGCAGAAAACAATATTGCAAGAAATCTTCGTTCCGATGAGGGAGTACTAACAGATTAATTGTCACAAACGAACTTTTGATTATGGATCTTAATGAAAAGTTTGTATGTGGTTCTGGCCTCTTAAATTTACTGCTACGACGGAGTGCTAATCCTGCTAAATTGTTTTCTATAACCTTTAACCGCCTGCGGGTGATATCAATAAAAACAATAAATATTGAATTAACAAAGAGTTAGAATTAGATAACGCCAATTTTGTTGGCAGCCTTATTTATCTCTGAACAGAAGTCTACGCCACAATTTAATTAAAACCAACTCTATCAAACTTTATCGGCCCTTACGGTATTCTTGCCGGCATTAATTAATTGCTAGGGAACCTCGAGATGTTTCGAATTTTTGTTATTCAAATATAATATTTTTCTTGATCTTTTCAAACAATCAAAAATAAAATCATAAGATAATACTAAGACAAAAATTGACGTTTAAAAACGGCTTTGAATATACTGATATACTAGGAGCAAAAATACGCCTGTGGACCTAAATATACATAATATGCTCCAATAAACTTTACAAATCTGTAATAACGAATAAATAATCTATGATAACAGCAATGATACTAACCAGAACCACCGATATTGTTGCTGTAAGATATGATCCGTCTGTTAGCGACCCACTCAATACCACAGACAGGTGAGGTGTGTAATGTGAACTCTTTTATTGTTTTAGTTGTCGTCAGGTCAACTATCAGTATAGATCCTGAGTGGGAGCCTGGACAGTTTTAGATTAGTGGGTTTTAGTTAGCACATTGATAAGATCGAGAAAATAGGATAATTTTGATGTACGTATCATAAAATCAGATAAATTCAAATGATTTCAGCATCTTTTAAAAAAGGTAGCCCAAGACTGAAAAGTGAAAACTAGATTATGATATTACTGCAACTGTAGAGCAAGATTAAGAGAATGTTCAAATAAAGTTTACCTAAAGCGAGTAGTTATAGTGGGTGGTAGAAATGACTGCTTTTAGTGGAGAGAGGTGGGCAGACTTACCTAAAGCGAGTAGTGGGCGGTAGAAATGGCTGTTTTTAGTGGAGAGAGGTGGGCAGACTTACCTAAAGCGAGTAGTGGGCGGTAGAAATGACTGTTTTTAGTGGAGAGAGGTGGGCAGACTTACCTAAAGCGAGTAGTGGGCGGTAGAAATGACTGTTTTTAGTGGAGAGAGGTGGGCAGACTTACCTAAAGCGAGTAGTGGGCGGTAGAAATGACTGTTTTTAGTGGAGAGAGGTGGGCAGACTTACCTAAAGCGAGTAGTGGGCGGTAGAAATGACTGTTTTTAGTGGAGAGAGGTGGGCAGACTTACCTAAAGCGAGTAGTGGGCGGTAGAAATGACTGTTTTTAGTGGAGAGAGGTGGGCAGACTTACCTAAAGCGAGTAGTGGGCGGTAGAAATGGCTGTTTTTAGTGGAGAGAGGTGGGCAGACTTACCTAAAGCGAGTAGTGGGCGGTAGAAATGACTGTTTTTAGTGGCTCGAGAGGTGGGCAGACTTACCTAAAGCGAGTAGTGGGCGGTAGAAATGACTGTTTTTAGTGGAGAGAGGTGGGCAGACTTACCTAAAGCGAGTAGTGGGCGGTAGAAATGACTGTTTTTAGTGGAGAGAGGTGGGCAGACTTACCTAAAGCGAGTAGTGGGCGGTAGAAATGACTGTTTTTAGTGGAGAGAGGTGGGCAGACTTACCTAAAGCGAGTAGTGGGCGGTAGAAATGGCTGTTTTTAGTGGCTCGAGAGGTGGGCAGACTTACCTAAAGCGAGTAGTGGGCGGTAGAAATGACTGTTTTTAGTGGCTCGAGAGGTGGGCAGACTTACCTAAAGCGAGTAGTGGGCGGTAGAAATGACTGTTTTTAGTGGAGAGAGGTGGGCAGACTTACCTAAAGCGAGTAGTGGGCGGTAGAAATGACTGTTTTTAGTGGCTCGAGAGGTGGGCAGACTTACCTAAAGCGAGTAGTGGGCGGTAGAAATGACTGTTTTTAGTGGCGAGAGGTGGGCAGACTTACCTAAAGCGAGTAGTGGGCGGTAGAAATGACTGTTTTTAGTGGAGAGAGGTGGGCAGACTTACCTAAAGCGAGTAGTGGGCGGTAGAAATGACTGTTTTTAGTGGAGAGAGGTGGGCAGACTTACCTAAAGCGAGTAGTGGGCGGTAGAAATGACTGTTTTTAGTGGAGAGAGGTGGGCAGACTTACCTAAAGCGAGTAGTGGGCGGTAGAAATGACTGTTTTTAGTGGAGAGAGGTGGGCAGACTTACCTAAAGCGAGTAGTGGGCGGTAGAAATGACTGTTTTTAGTGGCGAGAGGTGGGCAGACTTACCTAAAGCGAGTAGTGGGCGGTAGAAATGACTGTTTTTAGTGGCTAGAGAGGTGGGCAGACTTACCTAAAGCGAGTAGTGGGCGGTAGAAATGACTGTTTTTAGTGGCTCGAGAGGTGGGCAGACTTACCTAAAGCGAGTAGTGGGCGGTAGAAATGACTGTTTTTAGTGGAGAGAGGTGGGCAGACTTACCTAAAGCGAGTAGTGGGCGGTAGAAATGACTGTTTTTAGTGGAGAGAGGTGGGCAGACTTACCTAAAGCGAGTAGTGGGCGGTAGAAATGACTGTTTTTAGTGGAGAGAGGTGGGCAGACTTACCTAAAGCGAGTAGTGGGCGGTAGAAATGACTGTTTTTAGTGGCTCGAGAGGTGGGCAGACTTACCTAAAGCGAGTAGTGGGCGGTAGAAATGACTGTTTTTAGTGGAGAGAGGTGGGCAGACTTACCTAAAGCGAGTAGTGGGCGGTAGAAATGACTGTTTTTAGTGGCGAGAGGTGGGCAGACTTACCTAAAGCGAGTAGTGGGCGGTAGAAATGACTGTTTTTAGTGGAGAGAGGTGGGCAGACTTACCTAAAGCGAGTAGTGGGCGGTAGAAATGACTGTTTTTAGTGGAGAGAGGTGGGCAGACTTACCTAAAGCGAGTAGTGGGCGGTAGAAATGACTGTTTTTAGTGGCTCGAGAGGTGGGCAGACTTACCTAAAGCAAGTAGTGGGCGGTAGAAATGACTGTTTTTAGTGGAGAGAGGTGGGCAGACTTACCTAAAGCGAGTAGTGGGCGGTAGAAATGACTGTTTTTAGTGGCTAGAGAGGTGGGCAGACTTACCTAAAGCGAGTAGTGGGCGGTAGAAATGACTGTTTTTAGTGGAGAGAGGTGGGCAGACTTACCTAAAGCGAGTAGTGGGCGGTAGAAATGACTGTTTTTAGTGGCTCGAGAGGTGGGCAGACTTACCTAAAGCGAGTAGTGGGCGGTAGAAATGACTGTTTTTAGTGGCTCGAGAGGTGGGCAGACTTACCTAAAGCGAGTAGTGGGCGGTAGAAATGACTGTTTTTAGTGGCTCGAGAGGTGGGCAGACTTACCTAAAGCGAGTAGTGGGCGGTAGAAATGACTGTTTTTAGTGGAGAGAGGTGGGCAGACTTACCTAAAGCGAGTAGTGGGCGGTAGAAATGGCTGTTTTTAGTGGCTCGAGAGGTGGGCAGACTTACCTAAAGCGAGTAGTGGGCGGTAGAAATGACTGTTTTTAGTGGCTCGAGAGGTGGGCAGACTTACCTAAAGCGAGTAGTGGGCGGTAGAAATGACTGTTTTTAGTGGCTCGAGAGGTGGGCAGACTTACCTAAAGCGAGTAGTGGGCGGTAGAAATGACTGTTTTTAGTGGAGAGAGGTGAGCAAGTACTACCTAAAGCGGAGTGAGTGGGTGGTAGTAAATGCCTGTTAATTTATTTGTGGAGAGAGGTGGGCAGACGTACCGAAAGCGAGTAGTGGGCGGTAGAAATGACTGTTTGGTAGTGGCTCGAGAGGTGGGCAGTCATTTCCGTGAAAGTCCGAGTAGTGGGCGTAGAAGTAGGTGTGTGCTTTGGTGTTGTTTAGGTGGAGAGAGGTGGGCAGACGACTTTACATAAACGAGAGTTGTGGGCGGTAGAAATGCTGTTAGTAGTGGAGAGGTGGGCACAGACTTACCCTAAAGCCGAGTAGTGCAGTGGCGGTAGAACTGGCTGTTTTTAGCGGAGAGAGGTTGGGCAGACTTACCTAAAGCGAGTAGTGGGCGGTAGAATTAGTAGAAATGACTGTTTTTAGTGGAGAGAGGTGGGACAGACTAACCTAAAGCGAGTAGTGGGCGGTAGAAATGACTGTTATTTAGTGGAGAGAGGTGGGCAGACCTTACTAAAGCGAGTAGTGGGCGGTAGAATAGCTGTTATTAGTGGAGAGAGGTGGGCAGACTTACCTAAAGCGAGTAGTGGGCGGTAGAAGAAATGATGGTTTTTAGTCGGAGGGAGAGCGTGGGCAGTACATACTAAGCGTATAGTGGCGGTTAGATAGAAAAAGAAATGGACTGTTCTTTAGTGGAGAGAGGGTGCGGCCAGAAACAGGATTACGCCTAAAGCGAGTAGTGGGCGTGTACGAAGGAAATGGATGTTTTTTAGTGGAGAGAGGTGGGCCTCGCAGACTTACTAAGAAATAAGTGGGGCGGTAGAACGGGATGTTATTAGTGGTGAGAGGGGGGTGACACCGGACTTACCGAAGCGGTAGTGGGCGGTAGGAAATGAGTTCTGTTTTTAGTGGAGAGTGGTGGGCAGACTTCACCTAACTCGAGTCTAGTGGAGCGGTTTGAATGACTGTTTGTTAGTGAGATGAGAGGTCGGGCAGCAGAAATTATAAAAGCGAGTAGTAGTGGGAGTAGAAATGAATGTTTTTAGTGGAGAGAGTGGGCCACAGCAGACTTACCTAAGCGACGTAGGGTGGGCGGTAGTAAAGGCTGTTTTTAGAGGAGAAGCGGTGGGCAGATTATTAAAGCGCCCCCACAGTAGTGGCGGGAGAAAATGGGCTGTTTTTTAGTGGAGGGAGGTGGGCCGACTAACCTAAGGAAGTGCGAAGTAACAGGGTTGGGCGGTAGAAATGACAGTTTTTAGAGGCGAACGGTGGGTCAGGCCAGATTACTAAATTCGAGTCGGGGCTGGTCGAACTGGCTGTTTTTTAGTGGAGAGAGCGAGGGCACCCAGATTCCAGATTCTATAAGCGCGTAGTGGGCGTAGAAAAGGCTGTTTTTTATGTGGAGAGAGGTGGGCACAGTCAGACGAGTATAACATATCCTTCACTTATAACGGCGTAGTGGGCTGGTCTGCATGGCGCTGTTTTTCATGTGGAGAGTGAGGGCACAGCTTAACCTAAGCACGTAGTGGCGCGATAGAAAGAAATGGCTGTTTTTAGTGGAGGAGGTGGGCAGACTTACCTTAAGCGTGTAGGCTGGGGGTAGTAATGGATGTTTATGTGGAGCGAGTTGGGAGCAGACTTAACTAAAGAGAGTAGTGTGCGGTAAGAAAGAATTAGAATGACTGTTTTTTAGTGGAGAAGAGGTGGGCCAAGACCTTACCTAAAGCGATTAGTGGGCGGTAGAAATGGGCTGTTTTAAGTGGCTCGAGAGGTGAGCAGACTTACCTAAAGCAGTAGTGGGCGGTAGAAATGACTGTTTTTAGTGGAGAGAGGTGGGCAGACTTACCTAAAGCGAGTAGTGGGCGGTAGAAATGGCTGTTTTTAGTGGCTCGAGAGGTGAGCAGACTTACCTAAAGCAAGTAGTGGGCGGTAGAAATGACTGTTTTTAGTGGAGAGAGGTGGGCAGACTTACCTAAAGCGAGTAGTGGGCGGTAGAAATGGCTGTTTTTAGTGGCCGAGAGGTGAGGCAGACTTACCTAAAGCGAGTAGTGG